TTCGCTCTTCTTCTCCATTCCAATCTACATTTTGGATCGAGTCCTTGGCTTTACTGACGAAATGTCAGACAGACTATTATTTTATGTCGACGTTCCAAACGTTGCCTCCTACCTGGTTTATGGTGTAGTTACAACAAAGGATTTTGCTTTTACCTTGTCCTGTTTAAGCATTTCAGATATTTGGTCAACTTGTGCAACAATTATCAAAATTTTCGACGTAATATTAGTATCACCGTTTCTTTTTATTGTTATACATATTTTACTTTAGGTATATTATAATTAAAGAAATAAAAATGACTTGAGCCTATCTTCAGCAAACTCTATACCTACCCGACTCTTTAGAAGTTCCGAGCCTTTATAAAATAATATAAAAAAAAATTCTTAGTAGCTGTAGTAAATATACAACGTCATAGTCAAGGCCTTAACTAAGGAAATGCTAAAGATCATCTTACAGTGGTCTTACTAAAGAATTGAAAGCACAATACAGCAAGCAGGTACTCGCTTATCGACCCGACTTGTCAACAGAATGGAAAGGTCACCCTCTATCCCCGTGTAGATATAGTGGGACTAACTGAACCAATTGTGGACTTGTCAGGTGGGTACCTGGAAAATGTATTTACCTACTTATTAACTTTTTGGCACTGGTAATCGGTACGACGGAAAACATGTGTGCAAAATAGTAAGGGTTTTCGAATTTCGAAAATTTTCGTGTATAAAGATTGGTAATTTAATATAAGGATCTATATTAGTACCAAGTATCTTTTTATTAAATAAAAAGGTAATATTCACAGAATCGTTTCCTTGCCATACAAATGTTATTTGGCTTTATACATATGGTATGTAATCTAATTTTATTATAATTTATCATCCTACTTTACTATTACACAGCTATTTATCTAAGGAGTTTTAAACTAGTATACAATATTTGCTATACTTACAATTAACACCACAAAAACAAAGAAATTAAGAGTTCTATTTTCAAAGTCAGTTACCACAAGGACATGATGATGTGCTTAATTAAACTGTAAAATAACTCCTGTTAACTATATGAGACTTAATGAAAATTGTGTGAGTAAGCTATTCTTAGGCACTGTATGGGCTGGCTCGACCGTAGTGACCAAAAGGCCTTACAGGAAAAAGAGAAAAGCAATATTTACGTTGTGTTTGGCCGTGTGCGTGAGGTTAGAGGAGACGCAATCCTTCCCCCGCCATTATCAATCATCAAATCCCCGGTCCTGCCAGCAGCCTCGGTCTGGCATTTCTTTTTCGTAGATACTTATTATTGTTTTATATGCAAAAAAATAGGGTCTGCGTTCGAAACCTGACAAGTACAAATGTGACTTTTTCCAAGTTATATGTAGGTACTTTCTATGATTATTTAGACACCACTGACATACGGTGAAGGTAAACATCGTAAAGAAACCTGGACTTATAATTTCTAATTATTAGTTTGAAATCGCCAACCCGCATTGAGCAAGCGTGGTGATTAATGCTCTAACCTTCTCCGTTAGAGAAGAGGCCTTTGCTCAGCAGTAGGCACTTATAGGCTGATGATGATGATAATGCAAAAAATATCAAATATTGTTAAATATTCTTAAGTCTGACTGCTAAAATTAAAGGCAATTCTCGGCTACCGTAGGTCACCGGTGACCTGACAATATGCCGCAGCCTGTATAATGATTGATAATGATCTTATCTTTACGGAACGGTGACAACAATAGGATCCTTATTTATATAATAAGTCTATACTGTTGATAAGATATTGATTAAAGCGATTTACACAAATATAAAAAAGCCTTAATTAAATTAAATTAAATGACATCGATTTAGTAACGATTACAGACATTAATCTGGCAACATTTATTAGCGCATACTTGCGCATGTCACAGACATTTCCGTGACTAGCTTCCAATAGCGGTTGCGCCCGCGAGGCACGTTCATAAAAAGCAGGCCATATATGTGTTAATCCAGGGCATCGCCTATATACACACCAAATTTCAACCAAAAATGCTCCAGCCGTTTTTGCATAAAACAATACCAAGCATACATCCATACATTGTCATAAACTTTTGCATTTATAATATTGTTTAGTAAGATTCCTATCACGTTCTTTTTCTTTTTTTTCCTTTCTTAAAAGAAAAACGTTGCCCCACATTAGGATTTTCTCCTGTATCGCGGGTGCGGTTACAAACATACAATTGCACATACACATGACACCTAGACCCGGAACAACAATTTGTGGATCACACAAACAGTTGTTCCGTGCCGGAAGCGAACCCACGACACGTTGCACGGCAGCCAGTTGCCGTAAACGTTGAATAATAAAGATATCTCCTAGACCTGGGTGAATAAATTAAATACAGTTTTTTATGATGAAAATGCTAAGGGCACACTGTTAACTGGAACCTAACTTCCCTTGCAAAAAAGGCATTCTCCTTTACAATACAGCGTCTTAAGGTCGATATTTGCCTGAAAATACTTTTACGTATATTACGAATCACGCTTGCTTCAAGTGCTCATTCACGTCACACCGTGGCGTCAAGGAGAATGGAAGATGCATAGTTACCTGAAATATATGATCTAGCAGTAAATAGTTTAATACAGATCAGAGAATCTTGCCAAATTTTCCTAAACTGCTTAACATGTTTAAACGTCGTGTTGATCGAAGATGAAGGTGCTCGCTTTTCTTGCATAATAATTATGAGGGTTTGAAACCTTGCAAGTACTAATGTGACTTTTTCCGAGCTATATTTTCTTAGTGTACTGTTTACTGTTCAAAGTTTATTTTAACAAAGCCAAAGTCAAAATCATTTATTTCAGTTAGAACGTTACAGGCAGTTTTGAACGTCAAACAAAATTTTAAGGATATAAAATGTCAGTTTGTCTTTTGGTCTTCTGGATTGCGGGTCAAATGCAACAATTTACCGCGGCCTCGACCTTAAACGGAGTGGTGTTTAGTCAGTAAGAGTCTGACACTCCCTCTCGGTTTACCCAGGGCGAGAGAAGATATTTGATAGATAGAAAGAAAAAAAGATAATTTATTTGTAAAACAACAAACCATCAGGATTAAAAAAAGAAAAACAGCTTAAGATTCTGGATTGAAATTAGTTTATTGATATTATTAATGGTTTTGAGGTCTCAGCTGAAACCTAGCTTGATACAGAGATTTCAAGTCGCTAATTAATTTTTCCAGCTATTAATCGACCCTTACGAAAAGTTATGGGAAGGAAGAGTAGTTAGGAGTAATAAGTGTAGGTATATATATCTGACGTCGCTATACTTTATATGATTACATTACATTAGTCATACATTATAATTGTTGATTTTATTGCGATAATCGCCGTATCGGTGGGTAATATAATATTTTATGGTTCTCATTTAGTTTTACGATTGCGAATCAATATTTATGTTGTTATATCAGTAAATACTTACGATCAACTATTCTTATTAGCCGATGACGTAAACAAATTGATTTATTTCGCTTTGGCGTCGAAAATATTAACCTAAGTATCTATCGACGAATCTGATAATATTTTTAACTCTTCGTGTTCGAAATAGCTATGTAATCTTACTTATATGAACAACACACAATCATTTTTAAATAATCTTTAAATTTCAAACATAACTTTACCGTTTAAACAATGCGCTTAACACAAATTAAATTAATTCGAAACGCACCATTCCGTCGCGCCGCCATTAGGATTTCCCGGCAATTAATTTGACAGCTGTCAGCTTCAATTTGAACATGGAAGCTCTCGAATACGCGCGTATTTTAGCACAATCAAAATGGCGACACGGAAAATAGTCCTTTGAGGCCACAGATTGTTTAATAATACTTACAAACGCCTAAATACGAAACCATTCGATTGTGATTGGTTGTAAAATTAACTAAAATGTGTTCCTTGGCAAATGAGGAAAGTAAATCACGTAGGTACGTAGCACTAAGATTTTAAAGATTTTTATGACAATAGTCATTTTGGGTATTATGTTATTTATGTGGCAGCGGTTTTAGTATTCGCATATCTATATCATAAAAGTGTAAAGTCTAAATCTAAGTATATGAAAGTGCAATAAACCTCAACTTACGTTACGTTATGGCATTCTGATATCAACCCATTATAACACTTCCGGGTTTACAGCGACCAAACCGCCAAATATATCTGAATCATCTTCTCATTCGTGGAAAATAAACAAACCCAATATAAGTATACTCGATACAGTTAAACTAGAATGTAGATAGATTGCTGACATAAACCATAGACACGTTGATTTCATAAATAACTTTGATTGCAAGGTGAAACTCCTTCGTAGCTCACCTACTTTAGTTACCCAAACAGTGGTCTTTGAGTAAATAAAGAAGTGTTGCCAGATGAGTCTGTTTTGTAAACAGAGGCGTATTTTGTTCCTATTACAGTGTACGTGAAACTTTAGGTTAGTTAGTAGTTGAAATTTTTGAAGAAATGTTCATAATGTCCCTTAATTGACAATCCCAAAGCGAGTGCCGGCGTTCGCGAACATATTTTTACTATTGTGTTTGGAATTACCACGATTTAAACGTTAAAGTATATTTTGTGTAAAGAAAACTTTATTTAGACAAGCATACTACACACTGAATGATTATATTTTTTGTTTGACTGCATGGTTGGCGCAGTGGCTGGGCTGCTGTGCAACGTATCGCGGGTTTGATTCCCGCACGGAACAATACTTTGTGTGATCCACTAATTGTTGTTTCGGATCTGCGTACGCACCTACGACACAGGAGAAAATCCTAGTGTAGAGCAAAGTTTAAAAAAAATCGTAGATAAAGATGCTCGGAGACATTCTGGTCCTGCTACACAGGATAGCACACCTACACCAAAAGGACTGACCGACAGACTGACACTATATCTCCATAAAATTGTTTGACGTTCAAAAGTGTCTGTAAGGGTCTAATTGGAATACCTAAATGATTTTTGACTTTATTGACTTTTAATAACAAGTCCGTCTGTTTGTTTGTTTAGCGCAAGCTGGGCGGGCGTGGCAACGCCTGCTGTTCCGCGACGAACAAACGCACAAACATATTCACCGCGGTGAACAACTTCTTCGCTGATTCGCCACTGGTGAATCAGCTCAAAGGTATCATGGTAAGTTTATAAGAATTGTCTATTAAAAACAGCTGATTTCTTAAATATAGACCAGCAAAAATTTAGTTTTAAGTAATTCCTAAAATTAGTTTAATGAAATATATTGTTTGCTAGAAAATGTACTTCTAACATCTACTGTGTTGTAGTCATGCTTACAAGTTGTTACCACCTTATCAACAACCAGTGAGAAGTCGACTTCTAAAGAGAACTATTTATTTATTGGCACATGCTTCCAAAACCATTTCTCTTCCTGTAAGCCAGGATCTCCATTAATGACAATAAAGAAAAAGTCCAAAAGTCCAAAGCGTCCCAAGGATACGAATCACTGTCTTAGATGCCACAACGGAACAAATAAGATGATATTATTTGTAGAGTAGTAAAAACGAAATAGGTTTCTATTCTCTCGGTGGTGTATGTCATAGCACTATGATTAAAATCATAATTACTAAACACCTTTCGTGTAAATATCCTCCCTGCATCTCCTGTTTCTCTAGTTGACTAATAGATAACTAATTAACGTTAAGTTGGCCGTTGTTCTATTCCTCATGTATATAAAAATAAAACAAAAGAACAAAAAAATCAAGCTGCCTGGTAGATATCGGATAAAGCCTCTCAGGCCCAATGCTTTCTGTAACTCATTTGTATAACAAAGACTATATTAATTCATTCATTAGTTTAAAAAATCCAACCTTCTCTTAATATAAATCCATCACAAAAACTACATACAAAGGTAGTCAAAATTGTGTCCAAAGTTTTCCTTTATCGCCTCGTAAGAAAGTGTGAAGAACAATTCTAAATCCGCACGGATATTCACGAGTTAGGACCGGCTTACCCGGATAGAAATTGATCGGATCGACCCTGCAAATTGACGTAGAATGTGTTCCAAGTCATTGGACTCGAAACTTGGTTTGAGATTCAATGGTTTCGGTTTGGAAGTGTTGAATAGTTTGTCATTGAGAAGCGAACTGTTTTTATTGTGCAAAACTCATGACTGAACCAATTTTGTGTTTTTGAATTAAGCGTTTGATACTTATATTCAATGCATCGATCAATGTGACCTTTTCTAACATATACTTATGCTTTCTAAGTTAAGGAAAGATCATCAAATGTCTTCTCCCGCCCACCCTGGGGCCCGAGTCTACTATTTTCTAAGTGTTGTCATTCCTACACGATTCCATTGTCATTTTGCTAAAAGTTCGTAATCTGTTAATTCAAAATGGCTGATCATTGGCGTTCGGCGATGTCGTATTAATAGAATTATAGTACGAGATGTCTTGTAACGAATTATAAACAATAACTGCACCTTAATATTCTAAACGTAAATCATTGAGTAAAGGAACTGCCATTTTTTATTAATTTACCGCATTATGTCAAATATTCATTTGTCATTATGTACGAGATTACCGTTCTAAAGAATTCAATGAAGTGGCATTGGAAAGTCATAATGACGCTATCGTGTTAGTAGATTACCAAACTTGACAAAATCAACAATTTTGAAACCAATGATCTACTATTCTGACACTATTGTAATAGCAGACTCGAGGCCCTGAGCTCGTACTGACTATAAGCCCCCCGTTCCTTCTTTTGGTCTAGACCGAAGCGTCGGTAACCTATTGCGATTGGCCTGCAGTCCCGAGTGAAACCTTATAATGTTATAGAATATTGAAGATGTTAACGTAACGTGTGCATTAACACTTATCTTAAATTATCATAGATAGGTACTAAGGCTATTTTTTAAAGTGAGAAGTGGTCTTAATTCTGTAGTGAAACTTTGTTATTTTTCACATCACAAAATTGTCTTCTAATATTGATTTTTAATCAGAATCGGATGCCTAAATCAATAATTGCTGATTTTATTTTTTAGTGATTAGACGGTCACCTGTTCAGCATAATCCGAAATGTTTTTGTTTAAACCCATTTCCAAGTCTTCCTAAATTGTTATCCACCACTATTTTTGCTAAAACGAAATTGCTCAAATTCTCGCACATTCTCCCGTTCCAAGTTCCTTCCATTTGGAAATACGTAACATTGTCAAGTATGTCGTTACCTGTATATACTTGAGTGTGAGAGGTACTTCTGAACGCGGGGGAAATTCACGACCTTCTACCAATCGAACCTACAAGTAATATACTTGACTTATTGACTTCCATGGAGTATCTTAACTCTGTGTCGACTATCGAGATAAATGAATTCGTATTTATATAGTGAATTAAGCTTACATGGTTATGTTTTAAAAGTGGTAAAAGATTTCCTACTTCCTACGTTCTACTATCCTACAAATATTATAAATGTAAAGGTTTATGAGAATGTATGAATGTATGTTTGTTATTCTTTCACTGTGTGTTGTTATTCTTTCACTCTGTGTAAAATATAGACTTCTTTATATCAACATACCAGGCTCGCTTATTGGCCCGCTGCTTCGTCTAGCTGCGGGCCAAAGTTAGTGTAAAATAATGTAGGTAGTAGCTATGGCCTATTTACGGAACTGCCTATGGGCCCCTGACGTGAATTGAAATTATTCGAGTTGCCTAGTTAAAGTAAAATGAAAAAAGTAGTCAATTAAAATTTAAACGATATCTATGTATTTGTATAAATAAAAAGTGAAAATTTTCAATAATAAAGTTTTTGAAGAATTTTTTAGTTTCACTTCACATACAAAAATTCTTGGGTACTTTAATTTTACATAAAAGAAAATTTGTATTATAGTATGTTTATAAAAATAAAATAACAAACGATAGAAATGGTTTTTTAAATAATTGAAAGTCGCCTTAAATCAGAAACAGTGTGACAAATAAATCGATCAGCTAAGCGATGTTGCATGTCACATAAAATTGTAACCTAATTACTGTACCGTCCGCCATCCATCCGTATACGTAATCCAAGTACATATAATACGAATTTTTAATTTTTTGTTTTTTAATCGAAAATTGTAGTGGTGGCCCTGAGGTTAAGGAGCCCGCTTCTCATACATGAGGGTGGGATCGACACCTCGCAAGTACCAATGTGACTTTTTCCGAGCTATATATACTTTCTATGATTATTTAGACACCACTGACATACGGTGAAGGTAAACATCGATCGTGAGGAAATCTGGACTTATAATTTCTAATAATAAGTTTGAAATCGCCAAACCGCATTGATTGAGCAAGCCTTGTGATTAATGCTCTAACCTTTTTCGTATGAGAAGAGGCCTTTGCTCAGCAGTGGGCACTTACTTATACGCTGATGATGATGAATATGAACTTACCTTTATTTTGAGTGAAGGATATCAATCGACTTCTTTCGACCTTGGTTTGGCGAGAGAGAGTGTCAGACTCTTACTGACTAAAGCCCACCAAGTTCTTCCTCCAGCTCCGGGCCAGATCCATGGTATTATTGTGCTTGTATTCGAAACCCTGGCTGAAATGAACCTACCTGGCTACATGATTTATGTCGACTAGTATTCTCTATTCCAAACCATCATTTCATCAACCTTTAAGTGCTTGAGATAGAACCTTAATCAGCATGCTTATTCAAATGTATAATTCCATGATATTTTCCTAAAATAGTACATAATTAGTTGTGTTTAAATAAGTTTACAAAGTAACTACAAAGTTTTATAACCGCTTACCAGCAAACAAGGCTTTTTGGTCAGCCGGGGTTGCGGGGCAAGCGTGATTAGGTTGCTCGGCTCGACCAGGAGAAAAAATGGGATGGTTCTTAGTCAGTAAGAGTCTGACACTACCTCTTGCCTCACCCTGGGCCGTGAGAAGCCATTTGATGATTTTTCTTACTAAACTTTTTGATATCAATAGTGTAGAGTATTGTACCTTATTAAATGAAGATGATTTGTTACAGACCAGACAAACAAACAGCAGTGGAGGAGAGCCAGGCCCTCCAGATGAATCCTCTCGCTCTAATAACAGAGACCCGCCGACACTGGCAGTCAGCCCTTCAGACAGGTCAGATTCAAATATAACTAATTTTCTATTAGCAAACGGACAAAAAATTCAAATTTAAAATAAAAAAATAATGTCTTTAAAATAAAATCTTCTAAACTAATACTATAAAGCTGTAGGGTTTGTTTAAACGCGTTAATCTTCGGAAGTGCAGGTTCGAATCGAACAATTAATTTTGTGTTTATTTTTCCATTTGTCAAGGGAGCCGAGAACGAGATTAGCTAGTTTTATATACATATAACCAAACTTACCTTTGACGTAACATATTAACATTGCATTCAAACCAAAATTATTACAATCATTCAAACAGAATAAAAACGAAATAAAAATAATCTACAGTCAAATGAAATACGAAAAACTATCTTTTAAAAATATCTGGTCCTTTTTCCCGATGGAGCATTTTAAAAATATTGGTCCTTTTATACGCGTCACGACTCCCTTGCAATTTCTCTTTAGTAACAAATTGTTTCTTTTGAAAACCTACAACAAAGAACGTCTGCAACGTTGTTAGATGGCGGCAAAGACTTGTTTGACACAATATGAGAGGGTTCTGTCTCGAAACAAGTGTAATCCGCTTTCCGAAGCTACTCTAGGGTTGATACACTGTGGCTTCAGTAGGACTTGGGTAGCTATTGTTAGTTTCACTTTATATATCAATATGTTTTTATTATTTTTGGTTTAATAGTTTGTTTTCAGCAGCTTAAATTAGTAAACTTAAATGTTGTTAAGTTTTTTGGGCGCGAAGTTATAGTTTAATAGGTACTTTTGTAGATTTACAGGTCTAATTTTGAATTAAAAATCTGTACCAATGAGAAAATTTAAAGATTTCAGTAATTACAAGAGTAGAATTATACATATAAAATTAAGACCGAGACAGAAGCAGAAGATCATTGTATGTCACAAATAAAGAGCTCAATAACTTTGCCTCTCACCAATAATGGTTGGTGACATAAGCACTGGCAACCCTAAATAGTCAGCCAGTCTGCACCTAATCCACCAATGCCTTAATCCATACAATTTATTTTTCGATCTGGCTTTTAACAAATTTAATAGCAATTCTTTTCCATTAGCGCTCAGTAGACGGTAAAGCGTCTCTTTATTCATACTCGAATGAAAAACCGAGTCACAGGCGAAACAGTTTTTCATAGCTTTTCAATTTCCGTAAAAAGAAATATTCGAAGTGGGGGTAAGGTAAGGTTGGGGGCATAGTGACAAGCGATTAGCGATACGATTGAAACGCGAAAATTTTCTATACATATAGACTTTCTACATTTGTCAAAGTAGAGTTACTGAAGGGTTTAAATATTATTAACACGTTAAGCGCCATGGGGGTCACCGGTGACCTCCGTTAGCGGAGGATTTACCTTCAACATTTTTCTGTCGGCAGACAAAGGCTTAATATTTTATTTCTATAAGTTTTAGGTCTGAGTATGTGTATTTGCAAATAAATATTGCCGCTTAAATTTTTTGGGTTTGAAGATTCAGAAAAAAGGGTATTTCTAAGTGGATCTTGGTGGTATGGGTTCTTTAGGTCCAACCTGTCGGTTCTTTGCCTACAAGATGTCGTCGTCATCGGCCTATAAGTGCCCACTGCTGAACAGATGCCTCTTCTCATAGAGAAGGTTAGAGTATTAATCACCACGCTTGCTCAATGCCGGTTGGTGATTTCAAACGTATAATTAGAAATTAAAAGTCCAGGTTTCCTCACGATTTAGTTTCAGTGGTGTGTAAATAATTATAGAAAGTACATATACTATAACTCTGAAAAAGTCACATTGGTACTTGCCAGGTTTCGAACCCACACACTCATGCATGAGAAGCGGGCTCCTTAACCTCCGGGCCACCACGACACCTAGAAGATGTCTATGATGTCTATTGTACAAAAGCTGATCGTCTCAATACTCAATTATTTTGAGGAACCATTTTTAGCACTCTATTAGGACACAAATCGCGTCGCCAATCACTATGGCCTTATCATTATAACAAAGTATTGAAAAGACATTAATTTATTTTTTAATTTGTAGCAGATCGTACTAGTAATACCTAGTATTCGGTCCTAAGTGAGAGGGTTTTTTAAACCTGGTCCTTTAAGTTCCGTGCAAATAAGAAAAAATGGAGAAGTGAGTAATTCCTTAGTACATCTTCATTTATTTCCTATTTCCATTTGACTTTCGATACGGTTATTGATGTGTTTTTGTGAACAGAAAAAAAGATTATCTGCGTGGGCCTTTGTGTAGTAGTAGTAATATAGTGAATGTGTACTAAAATTCAGTAAAATGAAAATTTGTTTCTGTATTGATTGTACAAGAATATTTCGTTCAAAAAATACTCAAACTGAAAGTGATATTGTTGAAAAACATTGGTGAGTTTTCATTTGTTTTATCACGTAGTATCTGTGTCTGTCACTGTCGCACAGTCTAGACTTGATTAATCAGAATCGTAACAAACGTGTCTTTATAAAATTGTTTTCCCTAACTTTACCATTCGACCACCCACTACCTACCTAGTCTTCTGATTTCCTTTTTTTTGTACGATATTTTTCGTGAATTTTGTATGAAATATGATGTTATGATAACATCATCATCAATTTGTAAAAGGAATCTGTATGTGAAACTGATTTAAAAAGAGTAACCATGGAGTTTCTTGCTCGTTCTTCTCCATCGGAATCTACACTTTGGAACGAGCAAATAGCTTCACTAAGAGGACTGACCGACAGACTGACACTATTTTTTATTTTAAATTTTGTTTGACGTTCAAAAGTGCCTGTAAAGGTCTAATTGGAATAAATTATTTTTGACTTTTGACTTTTTGACTTTTTATCATAACCTCTTTGCATGTTGTACCTTTTTAGTTTTATAAGTACCTACTTATTTATTTTTCTTAACTAAGGTCGTAAGAAAAATATAAAAAATAGTGTCGTATTTTTCGTACAAAGAAATAACCATGAAGTTTTGAATTTAAAAACAATTTTTAATTTTTTTTAATGTTGAGGCAATAGTTTTTGACCCGTTTTGACAGTTAATAATATTATCGAACTTATTTAGAATTCGAAAAAGAAAACGAGCTGGAAATATGGTAACAGAACAGAAGGTATAGCTAGAGTTACCTTAGAACAATGGAACGAAGGTGACCTTATGGTAGTTATTCCCTTAAGGGATACAAAGGGGTAAGACTCACCCCAGTTGTATGATGTCGAAGTTTAATGTGACTTTTAAAGTTGACCGCTTGCTGATACCTTGGTCGGAAGCCAATTAACTTAATGGCGCATTCAAAGGATTTTAAAATGGTACCTACAGTTTAAAAGGCTTTATTATTTTTTCGTATTTTAATGTTGTTAACTGAATTTGTTATTTTACCACTTATGTAGTTTTTTTACGTAAAAGGTCGGCAAACGAGCAGACGGATTATCTGATGGTAAGCAATCAGCGCCGTCTATGGACACCCGCAACGGAGTAGTTACGAGTGCGTTGCCGACCTTTTAGGGATATGGGTTTAGGAAATTTAGGTATTGGGGAGGGAAAGGATTGGGCCTCCGGTTGAAGCGTGTGTGAAATACAATTTTTTTTATTAGTTACTAAAAGTACATAAGTACACAGATAGTATTTTTTTAATAAATCAGTCACAGTTAATAAGATCTTAAATAGTTTCGAGAAAATTCCATTTTCTATTTCAGCTATTCTCAGAACTATTGTCACAAGAAAATACAGATATCTGTACACATTGAAAAGTGTATAAGCTTCTTTGTTCGAACTATTATAAAATTGTAAGATGTGGGCACAAGCGCTAAGAAGGCAGCAGAGCCAATTGTTGGAATAATAGGTTCTTTGAAAGGTTTATGGAGAAAAAAGGAGGTTGCGTACTAATATAGCCTTTAAGGAATCGACTTACGTACCTTCTTTTTTTTAAAGGGGGGAATCATCCTATGACTTTAGATAGGTCGGTAAATAAGAAAACGGATTACCTGGTGGTAAGCAATCAGCACTGCCCATGGACACTTTTAATACCAATAATTTTAATAATTTTAATGGTGTACGTGTCATGTTCGTGAACGGGCGCCGCCTATTGGGACTGGTCATCTCCAGGCTGTCTAAATATGTTGTCCTTGAGGTTCACTTCTTTTTCGTACTTTTTGCCTGAACATTAGTGTTACATTGTTCTCACATATCAGAACCGACTAAATGATGTAACAAAGAAATGTATTGTAAAACTGATTGAAAAAGAGTAACCATGGAGTTTCTTGCTCGTTCTTCTCCATAGGAATCTACACTTTGGAACGAGCAAATAGCTTCACTAGAGGACAGACGGACAGACTGACACGCTTAATTTTAAAGCTCTTGTTATATACTTTTTTCCTTTATTGCTTGCTTGACGTTCAAAAGTGCCTACTGTGGTCTAATTGAAATAAATGATTTTTGACTTTTGGCTTTTTGACCAAAAGAGTTACTATAAGTGCGTTGCCTGTCTCTGGTGGATTATAAGGGACTTAATGATAGGAAGGATTGGGCCTTCGGTAACAATCCAATCCCCTTGGATCACCTCATAACATAAATTCTAAAAAGTGCATGGATTGTATACATAATATCATGTACCATCACGTTCAACTCTGTTTACCTGCCTTTAGGAATAAAAAGCGTAACGATAAAAAATATTTAATTGACTAATACATCAAAACCATCTTGGTACTAGTCTAAGATCAGGAAATAAGACGGCTTATAAACGGTTAATTTACCACCAGATTTATTTTAGAGCTAAAACACAATTTAGATAAAGGTATCAAATTATTTGATGGTGGTCTTCAAAACCCCCAAACAAAAACTTAGAAAAGTCCAATTAAAAACAAAACTGTATTCCATTTTTAATCTACACATTCCATTTCAATTCAAATCCACAGAAACTCCGTTTTAAACGCAACCAGATTTTTCATTTCTCTTTTTAAAAACGGGAAATATTCTCGGTCGGAGCGGCGCTCGGCTTCTAACGATCCAATTTAAAAATTCTATTTGCCCCGGAGTATTGCAACGGGTGGTCAAACAAAGTTGGGTCGTTCCATCGCCCCAAGAATTATCTCATTAGCTATGTAAAACTAATGTTTACAAGGTTAAAACAGGATTTGTTTTATTAGGTCGATTAGTATATAGCGTTTTCTGAAGTTAATTGTTGTTGTTTCGAACGGAGATATGAAACAATGTATTTATTTTTACAAATAGGCCATTTTTTTGTAAGGGGATAATCATCAAATGACTTCTCCCGCCCAGGGCCGGGCGGGAAGGAGTGTCAGACTCTTACTGACTAAAAACCCCCCTGTTCCTTCTCCTGCTCTGGGCCAAGGTTGCGGTGCCTCATTGCGCTTACGCCACAACCCCGGCTGAACAGCAAGTAGGCCATAAAACGGCACTTTTACATGCCAAAATGGCGCTTTTTACACATCAATGGGCGTGAATTTTTTTTATGTAATATGTCGGTAAACGAGCTTACGGATTACCTGTAAGTAATCAGCGACCTTTTAGGGATTAGGGATTTGGAGATTTAGGGATTGGGGGAGGGGAAGGATTGAGCCTCCGATTGAACTTTACTCACACGGCGAAACACAACGCTGTGGTTGTTTTGTTTCACGCCCGTTTTTTGTGAGGCCGTGGTATCACTCTGGTCGAGCCGACCCATTCGTGCCGAAGCATGGCTCTCCCACACTTTTTTATCATTTATGTAATATAATTATAAGGATCTTTTATCCTTTTTTAACTAGGAGAAACCTTAAAACACGCTTAGAATTTGAGAAAAAACACTAGAGCGTATGGAATTTATAACCTCATTCAAATTCTCCCCGGTGGCCACCATTAGCATCTGTACATGACACCGGATTCTCTCAATAGACCAAATCTTAAGTGCAGGAAAAGATCCTATTACGCGAAAGTTTTAAGTATGCATACTTTTTCATGTAAAACAAGGTTATAGATATGTATATACAGAGATAGATTACAGCCTGGAATAACACAAAGGCTTATTTTTATCAAGGTCACGCGGGCAAAGCGATTTGCAGAAGGTAGTTAATAATTAAGAATTTGTCTTGCTGTCTAAGGGTTTTCATTAGGATGAAAATGATTTTGGTTTTTTGAAAAAAATTAGTTGTAGGTATTCGTTTATTAATATCAGCGATAGAACAGATTTTTATAATCTGCAGATGCTGCACATTATGCAATTAACCACAATTTAATTTAAATAAGGCTAGTTAAAAAACTTACTCAAAAAGAAAAATAATATTTACGTAAATATACACAACTAACAAACACTATTTTTGTGTGGTGGGAAAATCATCATATGTTTTATCCCGCCCAGGGTGAGGTGAGAGGGAGTGACAGACTCTTACTGACTAAAAACCCCCTGTTCCTTCTCCTGCTTCAGGCCAACGCCGCAGTACCTTATAGCGCTTGCCCCGCAACCCCAGCTGAACACTACACACAGACAATGCAACCGAAAGACCACGCGTCAACAAACTTCAGTACGAAAACAAAATCCCTAAAAGATGGCGGGTTGCGGGGAGACATAGTGTAGTTTTCATTGGCTTGTTTAAGGGCATGTCAGAATTGCCAATGTTGTTGTTTCGCTTTGGTTCTCGGCGGCGGAATGAGAAACAGAAAGGGGCGGGGCCGGCTCTTATGCAGTGTCACTGCCTAACCTTGGCGAATGCATATGCTTGGCAAAGTGTGGTCCTTAGGTTGAGTCGTCTGTGACACTACATTATCTACTAATGCGCTAATTAAGGACTTATTTTGCTTACAGTCGCCAGTTTTCTGAGCAGACGTCTCCAAGCAAACCGCCGCGTCAGGTGACCTTCCTAAAACCGGCCGCTGACACTACGCTTGATAGGAAGGCTTCCATCGTCGACGAGACCTCGGGCATCACCAGGACCCAAATGAAAGGTGAGATTGGAAAACTGTAATTGGCAATTATATGAAACAAAATCACCAAAAAAAGTGTGGAAGGTTTTATTATTATATCGCACTTAACCCCTACTTTTTTGGTCTTATCTGACCCGAGTATAAGATATTTGGGCCTATAAATATTTGGATCTTCAAATTCAACCGATTTTTATCCACCGTTTTTTTTTTTTTTTTATATGTAATAGGTCGGCAAACGAGTAAGCAATCAGCGCCACCCATGGACACTCGCAACGGAGGAGTTACGAGTGCGTTGCCGACCTTTAAGAGATTAGGGATTTGGAGATTTAGGGATTGAGGAGGGATTGGGGAAGGGGAAGGATTGGGCCTCCGGTAACCTTGCCTTGTAATTCGTCACGTCGTAAAAACATTATTAATTTAACCTTCCAATCGTGGTAATTTGAGCCACAATAGAAGAAAAATAGTTGCGCGAACGTGTTCGCTAGGGGTTTGATGAATTAATAATACATTTACAGAGACTTCGTAATAAATTTTGCTATAAAAAATTGTTTAAATGCTATTTTCTCTCCAAATTGAAATTCTCGGCAGAAATTGAAAACTTCTTCTGTCGCTAGAATTCCGTGAGGCATTCCGCCTATTCGACAAGGATGGTGACGGCACCATCACGAAGGAGGAGCTGGGCAGAGTCATGCGCAGCCTCGGGCAGTTCGCCAGGGTCGAGGAGTTGCAGGACATGCTGCAGGAAGTCGACAGTGATGGTATGTAGAACCACTGATTCGCACTGGAGCCAAACTATTTCACCAACGAGGAAAATGTTCCATAATTTCAAATATTGAAATTTAATTTTTAAAAATATATTTAGAAGCAAAATATTGGAAAATGATCCCTATCATTTTCTCTATCTCCTGACAATATTATGCCAACATATGACAATATCATACTGACATAATATCAAACACACCAAAAAAATTATTCGCAGAATTGATCCAGGCGTCGTTGAGTTATGCACTTACCAACACATTTTGCGATTAATTTTTATAAATATGAGATACATTTAATAGATTTAGGTTTCATATTTAAAATTTTGATCGGAATGGAAAAATGATTGTTTTATATTCAAATTGTTGTTCCGAAATCTAGGATGATAAGCATGTGATATTTGTGCGTTTAAAAACTCATCTATGATATCGGAGGGAAACCTGGAATGGGAGGTGTAAAGGAGGGGAGGCATGTTAAAAATAAAACTTACGTCTCGCTTCAATGATATCCTATCATCCCTATCATTTTTCCTCTAAAAATAAAGTTATTTCTTCTTCCAGGCGATGGCAACGTTAGTTTCGAAGAGTTCGTGAGCATCCTCTCCAAGTCCATGAGTGGCCCTGCAGGGAACACCAGCTCAGCTGAACAGGAGGAGAGGGAGTTGCGAGATGCGTTCAGGGTGTTCGACAAACACAACCGAGGTTACATCTGCGCATCAGACTTGAGGGCTGTACTCCAGTGCTTGGGAGAAGACTTATCTGAAGAAGAGAGTAAGTGAACAGTCTAATTTACTTTTACTTATTTCTTAGGGCGACAAGCGACATCTGAAACTGTAACCGCACTCATACGGCGAAAAACAAAGCTGTGGTTATTTCATTTCGGTCTACTATGAGGCCATGGTATCAATCCAGTCGAGTCACCCATTCATACACATCTGATACATGGTTTTTGCACTAACAAAACACACATTCCACAAGTAGGTACCTATTGACGTGCAACCTATTGAAGTCACTGATAGTTACTGATAGTCATATAGTCACTGATAGTCTGATAGTCACTCATAGTCTGATAGTCATTGTTAATCTGATAGTCACTGATAATCTGATCGTCACTGATGGACACTGAGTTGCATATACAACTTTCAGAGGGTATCTAATAGGTCTATCGAGCTTTAAGTCACTGCTGCATAAAGGATGAGTCAGTTATTGTACGAATATTGTCTGCTAACGTAATTTACACGCACCTTTCAAATTTTATTGAAATTCTAAGTTTCCAAAATATTTTTTCAGTTGAGGACATGATCAAAGAAGTCGACGCAGATGGCGATGGCCGCATAGATTTTCTTGGTAAGTTCTTATGAACATAATTCTATTTAAATTATAAACCCGAAAGTATGGATCTATTTCATTGCTGAAGGAGTCTGAGTGAAATTTGGCATAACACACTGGTTACTTTTACACTGTAAGCGAAAAATCAAAAAAATCCTTCAAACCTTCAAGAGACGAGCATATTCCTTCTTAAAAGGCCGGCAACGCACCTGTGATTCCTCTGGTGTTGCGGATGTCCATGGGCGGCGCCGATCGCTTACCATCAGGTGATCCGTCAGCTCGTTTGCCCCCTATTCCATAAAAAAAAAGAAATATCACTGGCAAAAAATATATTTTATACTAAAACTAAGCTTTTCTATATGAGATGGGTTGGCAAACGAGCAAACGTGATGGTAAGCAATCAGCTCCGCTCATGCAACAACGGAGAAGCTATAAGTTCGTTGTCGACCTTTTGGAGATTTGGAGATTTTGGGATTGAGGGATTGGGCCTCAGCTTATTTTGCAAAACGACTTTTTGGCTGGACCACTGGGGTAGTGGTTGAGAAAGTTCACCATTCACCCTTGCTCAAGGCAGACAATTTCAAACTTATAATTACAAATGATAGGTCCAGACACCCATGCCACATGGTATAGGCCACTGATTAACCTTACAAAGTACATATAACTCGAAAAAACTGGTATAGCAAGTACACACTGGTACTTGCTAGGTTTAGAACCGCACTAAACCGCACCGCGCTAAGGCTGCATTTATTTAACCTCAAGGCCATCACGATAATTACATGTCATGGTGCTATTTTTAATGCGATCCCTTAATGGTAATTTGTGGGCTGGGTATGACGAATGGTTCCGGAGAAAATCCTAGTAAAGCCTTGTTGTTAGAAGATCATTTAACATTAAGTTTTTATCCACCAGAATTCGTCCGTGCTCTTGGTGAACCTGAGGATGCGTGTGATGATGAAGACGAAGACGACACGACTGAAGGACCAGACCTCATGATACAACGGCCTGTAGCTGCCAACTAAACTGTCAATATAAACACGTAGCTAGGACAGGCAACAACAGAATTATTTGAAACAAAAGAAGAACTAGAAAATGATGAAGAAATGACCTGAGAATTAGTTGATTGATGTTCTAATGAATAAATAATACGAAATGGAAAAGTCCTACGGCTGATACATAATGATCTTTGTTTAGTTATGTATGGGACAAAAGAGTATCTACTTACTTACATACGAATAAAATGAGGGGTTTAGGTACTGGAAAAGTACCTACCTACATATATGTAATGTAGGTACCCGGTGTCTTTATGCACACATACATATGATAAAGATAAAAAAGATCAAGAAATTATAGCTAATCCTGGCTACGTAAAATATCGACCGCTTCACGCTAACGCTGGCTTTAATTATTAATTACGTTGTTAATACTTAAATATGGCAGTTGTTTAGACGTTTGTAAGCGCCTAATACAAACTTCGAATCAAAAATAAAATTGATATTTTGTGACCAATTTCAAGGAAGATACAGCTCAAAATGGTTTGGCAAAATGCGGCCTTCTGTGGCATTGGCTCGCGCCCCACTGGGCTGTCATAAAAATTGCTTAGGCTTATTTTCGCGAAGCTCAGATGTGAATCTCATAAAAAAAAAACATATTTGTCTAGGTCCTAATAAGTTCTAGGTCACGTAGAATAGCCAATAATTCTATTGATATTTTCGTTAATTTGATTTGATTTGTTACTGAGACAAGACTGCTAAAGCGTCTCAGAGCCGACTTCACAAGATACAAGACCTTAATGATATAAAATAAAGGTACATCATCACCAGCTTTTAAGATATTATGCTAAGCAATCGTTCTTCTCACACAACGCAGATTAAATAAAGATCTAAAACGATCTTTTCCTTTACCGTATATCATTAGTATCTAGAACTATTCCGAAAGTACATATAATTATAACCCTTCGCATTAATAATTGCCAGACTCGCAGTCACAGCTACTGGCATGACAATCGGGTGCCTTAATCACCGATCAAAGTCAAAGTCAAATTCAAGCCACTCATTTCAGTCAGTCTTTTTAAAAAAAAGATAAAAAGATAAAAAGTTTCTGTCGTTCTATCCCATAGTGCAAGCCATTTGCTCAGTCCAAAGTGTTGATTCCTATGGAGAAGAGCGACCACGAGACTTCATGACACTCCAAAAAGTTTAATTAAGTATTTGAATATAGAGACATTAAGAGTATCGTACTTAAGTATAGACGTACCTACACAAACCACCAAAATATCGGTACAAGAAAGTCAACATAATAATATAGATTGTTTCTCTCAAGGCGGCATAAAAATCGGTACAGATAAACAATCAATATTAATTTTTCGTCACACAATAGTAGCTAGTTCTTAGCGGGAATTAAACCCGCCATACGAAGGTCGACAGTCATCTCGCCAACTAAGTAGTCGTATTTAATATGACATAGACGTAAGTCCATTATCATCCTATCAACTACAGAACCGAACTTGCAACGTAGCATATGGTCAGCTCTCGACACGAACTCCGAAAACTTTCCGCTGACCGCTACCCGCGTCCATTTCCCACCGATTCAGCTTACAGCGCAAAAATATCTGATAGAGACTCACCTTTATAGCTTCGGCACTTGGCCAAAATTGGAGACGACATTGAAACCAGTAGAGGTAGATAAAAATGAGATAAGTTTGGACACATGTAAAAAGATTGATGAAGGGAAATATGTATTTTTTATGTAATAAGCAATCAGCGCCGCCCATGGACCAACGGCGAGGCTATGAGTGCGTTGCCAACCTTATGGAATTAGGGATTTGGAGATTTTGGGATTGAGGATTGGGAGATGGGAACGACGTGCCTCCGGTAACCTCACTCATACCGGCGAAACACAACGCTATATCAGAAAATCTTGATAAACTGTTGGAAAAACAAAAACAATCTTACGTATGTTTGTTACGCAATTATACAACTATTTTGAGTAGCTAGCCAACCCTCTTTGGAGGTGTTTCCATCTCGCTTTCTTGCTGTCCAGCTTACATGCAATGCACACTACCAAAAGAATAACAATATAAAGAACACCTGTACTATTATTTCGTAAATAAACTTTGTTTTATTTCATCAACCCAAACCTAATACATATTATAGTGATTAATGCTCAAACCTTCTCCATGTAGAGGTCTTTAACAATAATGATAAACCTTACATGTATTGTCTCTGTATATGCCTATTGTGAATGACTGTGTCAATCATTTGTATCTCACTATTTCGCAAATAGTTAAAAGTTTTTCTAAGTGAGAGACAGCTATACCACATCCTCATAGGATACCGACGTGAAGCCACTTTTAGTCGTGAGAGTGGGTTTACTGAAGTCCACGTATCTATACTAATATTATAAAGAGGTAAAATTTGTAAGTTTGTATGTTTGTATGTAGTAAGTAATCTTTGGAACCGCTGGTCGGTTTGCCAAAATTCTTTCACTGTTAATTAGCTACAATGTTCCCGAGTGCTATAGGCTATAAAACATCACGATACGATTAAATCGCGCCGAGCTGCGGGTGAAACCGCGTGATAGTATCTAGTATTTTATATCAGTAAAACACACCCTCTCACTTTATCTTGGTCAAGCGAAGACATTGGATTTGACTTCTCCTTACAAAATAAGCCTGCACATTTTACGAGCTATATCGGTAGTTGAATTTAGTTCGTTTTTATTATGTTCGTCTCACCTACCACCATCATAATCATCACCCAAATTACTTCTTTTCTAACAGCAAAACGTTAGCTTTCCTACTTTTGCGGGCGGCAAGTAAAGGTAACTCGCCGCCCGACCAGAATTAGACCCGAGCGGACGGTGCGTAGCGTTCTGCACGCGCATCAAAGATCCAATAGACCACCACAGACGGGGCTACTATAGGGCTAATTCAACCGGGGTTGCGAGGTAAGCGCAATGAGGCACCGTGACCTCGGCCCAGAGCAGGAGATGGAACGGGGGGGTTTTAAGTCGGCAAGAATCTGACACTCCCTCCCAACCCTGGGCTGGAGAAGACATTTGATGATTTTTCCTTCACTAAAAAAGCTTTTCTACATTATAGCCTTAACTCTAACTAACAATCTACCATAAAACAAAACACAAGCACAAAATTAAACAAATATAAATCGTCCTTTATCGTTGAAACAAAGGCTTGTTAGTCGACAAACAAAAGGAGAATGTTATTTTATTTCATATAATTATGCACTTTATATGTTCCATACAAGGTAGACAATCAAAGCGCGATGCATTATTTTAAGCTACATGGTGTGTTTATTCTTGTTAGTCATTATTTTTAAAGCCTTACTTAAAATCTGCAAGCTGCCATATGGCAATGGGCAGGCCACATCGCTCGAAGGGTCAGAAAAGTGTTTGAGTGGCGACCAAGGACCGGAAGAGCGTGAGCAGATCTCCTGTTAGGTAGACCAACGGCCTCGTCAGAGTCGCTGGCAGCAAATGGATGTGGAAATGAAGTGCCAGCTTTGTCCAGCAGTGGACGTCTTCCGGCTAATGATAATAATGACTTACGTAACTATTTGGCGAAATAACTCGACTCGTTTCAAGCGACGGTAGGGTCTCATATTCAAAAGCAGCATAATGCATATGCAGTAAATATGCCACGTTAAAATACTGATAAAAAACCTATCAATTTTTTGTCCCATTGACGGACAAACTAAATAAATTTCTCATTTTCATCATTATCTATAATTCTAAATTAAAAACGAATAACTTAAATACTTTTGTCAACCTAGGAACCAATCATAAAACCTCATTGTTTTATGTATACATAATTATTGAGTCACTAAGAAACAGATGCGTGTCCAGTCATGTCAAACATGGTCACCCATCTATAAACAGACCTCGATAAGCATAAATTACAATATTGCTCTTGATAACTCGCATGAAACCTCAATGTAAGACTACAGACTTAGTAAAATATTTAGTAAGAAGTCATAAAAATATTCTTTAAGTTATTTTTAGTCTGGCAATAAAAATACACAGTAAAACATGTGTGGGGTATCCCCTACTGAGTGCGCTTTTACCACATTTACACCGAACTCTAACGTTCTAAAATAATCTTCAAAGAGGTTGGCTTGTAAAAGGTGTAATTGCTTCCTGGAAGGTATGTAGTTGCTAACTATTGATGTCGTTCAGTAAGAAGGCTAAAATTTTAGTGACATTTTCATTTTTTTATCAAATTTAATAGAATTTCGTTGAACAGGTTTTATTTATTTATAAAACAGTTAAAATAACAATAAAATATTACCGGACATCAGAAATATTATAACCACTAGATATAGAAATAAAATTAAATCGAAAACATGAACAAACTTTGTAAGGTCTATGTCATGTTTTATAAAACATACTATTTTTGTATTTCGAACTAGGTATCTGGCTGGATCACCACAAAAAAATAGAGGCCGCCATTTAAACTATCAAAAAGTATAATAAAAATAAATTTTTATGGCATTCATTATCGAGAAAATGCAGCCAGATTCCTTATTCAAAAGAAGGTTACCATAAAAAGGTCAATTTGCGACAAAAAAAAAATAAAGTAAAAAAACGTTTTAGTAAAATTGGACAGCGTTATGTAAGAATAGATTAAGCGACACTGGAGAGAATTTGAGAAAATGAGCTTAAAAGATTTATAAGAACTTAAAAATGTCACTGTGAGCTCATTATTTATGTCACGTGTTTGATAATTTTACTATGAAATAAAATGTGCATAGAGTTTAGAGTAATTTAGGATATATTACGGTGTAGAATATACTTTAAAAGATATAGCCATTTTTCCGCTTAATTCGTTAATGTATTATAGATATATTCAGATAAATTATTTTGTCAATAACGTACTATATGACATTATTGTCGTTTGATTCTTTAATACGATTTGTTTTGGGTGAAATAAAATGCAGTATAAGATTAAATCCAAATATTTTAATGCAAAGTTCTGAAATTAAACAAAAATTATACCATTTCTCTAAGGTGATCTTGTGTGCTATTACTGATTACGAGCTACACATAAATTTTAATATTTTTTTAGTCATATACCTCAAAATAACAACATATTTTGTTGTCTCTCTATCCTTTATAAAAATTAAACTCGTTCAATCGGTGTTCAATCTCTATTTAAAATAAAACCAAAAATAATGTATGTATCTCGTAAGCATCAACGTAATGCCGTTCAAAATAAATATCTAATAAACTAAAAAGACACTTTGTCAACATAAAAAACTTCTAAAAACTTAACAAGAAAGGAACAAAAAATTGGCGCTTAATTCTTAAACAAACGCAAGATCGCGTAGATAATAATATGCATTAACGAATTAGCTGCCATTTTAGGCGGTTAGTTCGATATTGCGTTTTTAAAAAATAAATTGAAACGGGTTATCTACAATTTTTGTGGATATAATTCGTTTATGCATTTTGTAATCCTGTTTGTGTATTTTGTAATAGTAACTTAGGTGCATAATTCTTTGTTACGTAACGAATTTGTGTAAAATTTGTTATAAATTTTGACATGTCGCTTAATTCACTCCTTATTATAAGGCACTAGAATTGACTTTTGAACACAAAAATAGCTGCACACATAGTTAATCATGCCTGGAATCGATCTGCATTCAAAACTCATTTTTTTCAATTTTGTCGCTTAATTCGTTCTTACATAACGCTGTCCAATTGTTAACGATTTTTGCGCACAGAAATTCTGTTATAATGTACTAGAAAAATGCATTTCGCTACCAATCTTGTTTTACATTTTAATACTAACAGTATTTACTAGAATATTCCCTGTTTTATATTTTTACCTAAAAATAAAATAAATAATCCTCTCTCAATTTTAGTAGTTCTAGTAATTTCTTCAAACCACATTTTAGCTGAAATATTGTAAATATAACTAGACAATAACAAATTCACAGAGCTATAAAATTGCCACGCTTCCCGCCATTTTATCACAGATAATAAAATATGATTTTGTACACAGCAATTTCAAACAAAATAGAAAACTAAAAGTGTGATGGAAACTATAATGTTACTTATTTTATTTTATGACAGAATTTGTGATACTGTATCATCAGCGCAACTTAAATTTTTGTTCATTATTTTTTTTTTACTAGCCTGTGTTGTCCCACTGCTGGGCAAAGGCCTATTTTAAATTAAAAAATATTTTTTATCTTACCTATACATTTCCTTGATTAAAGCCGTTCCATAAATGCGTAACATTTCAGTGAACTTGATTAATAATAATTAAAAAAGTACATAATATTTTCGATTAATGAATGATCAAGTTCCGTAAAAAAAGAACTAGGCTGAATAGCATTTCTATCAAATGTCACAGATTAAAAAAACACGGGTGATTGTATTTCGCGCGCGTTTTTTTTTCTCTGTGGACACATTACTAAAGATTTTATTTTACTTTTATTAATTATTTCAATTTCAATATGTTTTATGATGAAAATTTAATGAACGATGAAATATTAGGGGTTGTGTGGAAGCTAGCAAATAACATACCAACTGAAAATATTGGTAATCATAATTTACCGAGAATTTGGTAAGTTATTGTAACTTTTATTTTTAACAAGCAAATTTAATGTAATCTGAAAGTTATTTAGGGTTGAATATTCAAAATGGCGAATCTCTGAGCAAATAATCTCCGATTTGATTCAAATGATTGATTGATCTATCTGGTGGAAATATACTTGATGTATGGCAATAATGGCTCTGATAACTTATGAGTAGATAAACCGGGGAATAGTTTACCTCCAATTTTTTTTAAGTTATCGGTCGTCAAACTAACAGACGCATTACCCGATAGTAAGCAGTCAGCGCCGCCAATGGACATTCGCAACAATAGATTAGTTACGAGTGCGTTGCCGACCTTTTGAGGATTGGGGATTTGGAGTGTTAAGGATCGGGGCGGGATTGGGGAAGGAAACACAACGCTGTGTTTCACACCGGTTTTCTGGGAGGCCGTGCTATGACTCCGGTCGAGCCGACACATTCGTGCCGAAGCATTGGCTCTTCCACACTAAAGATATCCTATTCTATATAAAAATAACCTGGAGCCAATAATCATCATTCCACACCCATCATCAGGTTACACGGAACCCACTAGGACCCTCCATAATGTATCGCAAAAATATTGAATATTTTATTCACAGTACCGAGCTGAACTCCTGGGTGGACATTGCAGTAGTGCCACACAGGAGACTGTCCTTGAGAACCTCTTCTACCCTCATCAATGGAACTGCCATGTTGTACCAGCAAAACATGCGTCAGCTGCTTGATGGTAAGTAGTTATAATTACCATCAGGCGTATGATACTCCGGAATGACGGCAAGACGGGTTTACCATAAAGTCCCTATTTGGCAAACAGGTTTGAGATTGCAGTCTTCAAGGTTTTATAAGAGTGCTCGGTTTTGATAGAACTATATTATGATGTAATGGGAAGTCACATGCAAAACTTGTAGTTTTGCCTACCATCCCATTGCTTAGCATCAAGTAATGTGTTTACTCGTTTGGCTAACATACCCCATAAAAACATCTATATATAGCGAGCAAAAAGAATGTCACATTAGAATAGTTCTACTGCACAGTTGACGTGGTACCTGTGCAACTGGCTGCCGTGCAACGTGTCGCGGGTTCTTTTCCCCCACGGAACAAGCCTTTTGTGAAATGTTTCGAACGTGATGCGTATATGAACTTGGGCATGTGAGGCAACGTTTTAAAACAAAGTTTGGCAGCGCAAACTGCGGCTGCCGTACTTGTTTGATACCCGCACGGAATAATTCTTTAGGTGTTTTTTATTCCGGATTTTAGTGCGATGTGCATGTGAATTTGTATACTTGTAAACGCATCCACGGTACAGGAGAAAATTCTAGTGTGGGACAAAGTTTAAAAAAATAACCAAAATTGTGTATTGATAACTTTGCAAACTACTAGTGTACATAAATTATGCAGCCCATTACAAGACAATGAATGCCCGTGTGAGATCTATGCTAACTTATTATCCATCATAAAAATACAGTTCGACAAAATGTTCCCTTTAAAACGTAAAAATATCCAGTGTAAATTTTTATTCTGTGACTGGGCTACACCAGGCATTCGTATAAGTAGAGAAAAGTTATTTGAGCTATATGGCATGAAACCATTTAATAAAAGTGAGGCTTTTCGTAGGCATGTCTCCAAATATTCAAAAATATTTAAATTAGTTTGTAAGCATGCTAAATCACTCTATATTAGCAGTAAAATCCGGACCGCGGAAAATAAAATAAAAGCTACCTGGAGTATAATTAATAATGAAACAGGTAGGAACAAATCTAATAAGACAGAATTTAATTTAAAAACCGAAAAGGGATTTACTAGTACAAATTCATTAGTTGCCCAGGAATTCGAAAATTTCTTTAAAAATATTCCCATCAAAACTACGGAAACGTTGCAATCATCTCCAGCACTTGCGGTCGAGCTTCTCAGAAGTAACGTCAAAGAATGTCCTGCGGACTTTAGGTTTAAACATACAAACCCCCAGGAAGTAATAAAGGCGTTTAAAGATATCAAAGTAAAGTCCAGTGAAGATCTCTGGGGAATGTCTGTTAGAGTGTGCAGGTCTTTTATAGAGACTATAGCGCCTTACTTAACTTTAATTTTTAATAAAAGTGTAGATCAAGGGGTTTTCCCGGATTTAATGAAACATAGTAAAGTAGTTCCATTACTTAAATCAGGTGATAGCACAGAACGCAATAACTATAGGCCGGTCTCTATTTTGCCAGTGCTCAGTAAAGTGTTTGAAAAGTTGATACTTACTCAAATACTGCGTCACTTTAACGCGAATTCTATTTTCCATGACCAACAATACGGGTTCACTAAGGGACGTTGCACTACGGACGCAGGAGTATCGCTTATAAAACAAGTTTTCAAATCGTGGGAAAAAGCACAGGATGCCATCGGAATATTTTGCGATCTTTCGAAGGCCTTTGACTGTGTTGAGCACGAAACGCTATTACTGAAGCTGCAACACTACGGCATTCGGGGGGTATCCCTAAATTTATTAAAATCATACCTTCTAGAAAGACTTCTTACAGTACAAGTAAACAGAGTAAACTCCCACGGTGCTAGCGTATCTATGGGCGTACCGCAGGGCTCAATATTGGGTCCATTCCTATTTTTGGTTTATGTCAATGACCTGCCCCATTTATTCCAAAGTGAACCGCATATGGTATTATTCGCTGATGACACATCCTTGATTTTTAAATTAAATAGACGATCAAATAACTATGACGAAGTGAATAATGCCTTAACGAAAGTTCATAATTGGTTCACAAAAAACAACTTAGTACTTAATGATAAAAAGACGAAATGCATTAGATTTATTTTGCCAAATGTTAAAAGTAACGTATGCGATGATATATTATTAAATGGTCAGAAACTGGAATTTGTAAAGGAGACCACATTCTTGGGGATTACTGTAGACGACAAGCTGCAATGGGGGCCCCACATTAGATCTCTAGCAGGGCGGTTGAGCTCGGCAGCTTATGCTGTCTGGAAGATCCGTCAGCTAACCGACGTAGGCACGGCAAGACTAGTGTATTTTAGCTACTTCCACAGCATCATGTCGTATGGAATTCTGTTGTGGGGACAGGCATCCGACGTTGAGTCTATCTTTATCTTACAAAAGCGTGCAGTCAGAGCTATCTATAACTTAGGTCGTCGCGAATCTCTCAGAGAAAAGTTTAAGGAGATCAACATTATGACCGTACCATGTCAATATATTTATGAAAACATTATGTATGGAAAAACCTACAGCTATTTGTAAAAGTATCTGACAAGCATGACTATCTTACTAGACATAGAAATAGATTAAGTCAGCCTTTATTTAGATTAGCAAAAGTGCATAAGTCGTTCATGGGATTATGTGTTAAATGTTATAACAAAATCCCAACTGAAATACAAAATCTTAATGAAAGTAAATTTAAATTATGTATAAAGAAAGTATTATGTAGGAAAGCATACTACAAACTAAATGATTATATAGAAGATAAAAATGCTTGGAGGGTGGCTGGTTTGACTGCACAGGATAAAAATTGTTAAGGTTAAGAGGAATTTTGATCTCAATTATTAAATTATTCACCATGTTGTTGATTGTTGATAAACTGGATTTTTGTAAATGTGAGAGCCCTGTAACTTATTATAATAGAGTTAGACTTTTAGACTTATAGTATATTGGTACTTGTGTCAGTTGGGAGTTGTCATGCTCACTCAGGAGTCTCATTGGCGGTGGCACGGGCACTGGACCGCTCGGTTCCCTATAATATGGTTGAGTTGGGCGGTGCTGGTGTACGTGTCATGTTCGTGAACGGACGCCGCCTATTGGGACTGGTCAACTCGAGACTGTCTAAAGTTGCTGTCCCTGAGGGTTATTTCTTTTTCGGATACTTTGGTTAAACACTAGTGTTACACTGTTAATTGATTTGATTGTATTAAAAAAATACTTAATAGAATAAAATCAATAATGAGTTGCTTGTTTTTATAGGACCGGAGCGTTTTATCATAGATTCAAATTAACAGGAACTCTTAAATGAATAATAAAACTTAATTAATATTGGCTTATCTATTGCCTGTAAATAGCTTGCTGAAAAGTACCTCTGAAAGTTTTTCTTTGCAAATCGATTTAAGAATTTTCATATACCTATGTTTTATCTTAATAATAATATCTACATTTTTAATATCAAACCCCATCTATTGTAGAATCGATAAACATATTTTTTATTAATATTAATTACAACGAATGCGTTCCAAAATCGAATATTTCAAGAGTAATTGTTTAAATAACAATCTTACTTATTTGATTTGTAAATTGATCAAATCATCTACCTTTAATTAATTCGCTTGTCTTCATATGTATAATTATATTACTATATACCTAACTGTATTTTGTACTTAAATACTGAACTAAGCTTACAACATTTGTGAATTTCGCAGAAATATTTTACATAAGTATTATTAATTTCGAGGATATTCAAATAAAATAACAAGTTATACCTATAGTTAATTCGTGTACTTTATACAGGATTAATCATCTACAAATCACGAATGGAAACCTGGTATTTTGTATTTTACTCTAAGAATCAAGAAATAAAAATAAAATTATTTTTACCAATCACAAAAAATATCAATGCCGTTTCTAACACAAAAAAAACGAATGGCCTATCAATGCTGTGTTCCCATGTCTACGGCAAAAAAACTATAATTTAGTGATTTCCACAAAACACCAATTTATCGATTAACAAAAAAAAAACATACATAAATTGTAAATATTTTGTCCTTTTTACTCTTTCAAATTATTCATATGACTGAGATAGTTGCAACGTACATAAATGAATGTTACCTTGCTTGTGACTATTTTAAGAATAATAATTACCTACTATTTACATTTTCTTATATTTACTTATTACTGGCTTACCGTTTTTGCCTCTCGTTATAAAAATTAAGAAAGAAATCAAATATACAGTGCTGGATAAACATAGTACTTACCTAATGAATTATTCGCGGGAAAAATATTTTTACTAAAAAGTTGGTGTAGGTAACTGCGTTATGGCAAGTGGTAACACAATTGTGTGTAAGTGGTAATACAATTTAAAGACTTGGCTTAAAGGACTTGTATCCTGGCCATAAATATATAAGCATATTTGGACCATGGCGTTCACAAGGTTAAATAGTTATGTATACGGGGCCCTTCAAGCTCAGTTACGGGAACCGAAATTTAAATATTAAGTTCGTCAATCCCTGTGCCAAATACATAGAAAGAAAGAAAGAAAGAAAGAAGAAGAAAGAAAAATTATTTATTCGCGTCTAGGACGCACATATAAGACACAAAACAAACAAGTGTTTAAACATTTATAGGTAACTTTTATTTCCTTAAAAACTGCTAGTTTTGTTTTTCGGCGACTAGATTTACCCAGCACTGTAAATAAGTATCTACTAGATTTTTTTTAAATCTCTTTCAAAGTTTATACCTACCTAAGATACTATCAATAAATAACTATATATCAACTATTTATACCTCAAATTTTTCAACATATCCTAACAAGAATTTAAATGTATAATAATCAGAGCTTTTATTTGTCTAATAAAATGCATGATTAGATTAATAATAATAATTAATTAATGATATTTCGCAAATATTGATGTTGTATATGAATACCTAATACAGAACCAATATACAAATAAAATGTTCTAGAAACAATATTAGAGTTTCATTTTTCTTCATAGTTATCTAACTAAATGTGTATTTTTTAAATCCTAAATCCAAAATCATCATCATCAGCCTATAAGTGCTATTGCTGAGCAAGCTGAAAGAGGTTTTCAAAAGGAGGTTTGAGCATTTATCACTACGCTTGCTCAAGGCGGATTGATGATTTCTTATATTTAATAACTTACCTATAATTAAAAAGTGGTGTGGTCTTATTTTTATGTGACAGGTCGGCAAACGTTCCTATGGATTATATGATGGTAAGCAATCAGCGCCGCCCACAGATATCCACAACACCACAGGAGTTACGAGTGCGCTGTCGGCACTTTAGGAATAAGGATTTCGGATTTTTAACACGTTAAGCGCCATGGGGGTCACCGGTGACCTACGTTAGCGGAGGATTTGCCTTCAACATTTTTCTGTCGGCAGACAAAGGCAGGTTTGGGGAAGGGGAGGTATTGGGTCTCCGGTAACCTCAGTCAGTCACGCTGCGAAACACAACGCTGTGGTTGTTTCACGCTGGTTTTCTGCGAGGCCGCTAGCCGATAGATCCCGCGCGGTTTCACCCGCAGCGTGACCCCTACTGGTCGCAGCGTACTGTTTTATTGACTATAGCCTTCCTTGATAAATGGAAATTTGGCGAACCAGCAAATAAGGATACAACCAAGCGAGCAAAAGAGCGAACGAATGCACTAACTAACTGAACCGATCTGAGTCGAAACGAAATCACACGTGACGAACTGAACTCATACGAGCCGAACCGAAATGACAAGAGAAGAACGAAATCATACGAGATGGACCGAACTCCTACCAACCGAACTCATACGAAGCAAACTCATATGGACTTATAGCGGCATACATACATACCTACCTACATTCTATGGCATAACCACCACACCTCATACCTATTACCAGATAACCTTTACCGTACCTCCTTCAAGAACCAGATTACCTTTACCTCCGTAACCAACAAACCAATACCAACGTTTTTGACTTTCTGTGATCAGAAACAGTGAAACAGGCCGCCTTGAAAAAGGCGTTGTAAACGTTTTAGACTTCTGACAGAAACTCGTCTTGAAAAAGACGCTTGTAACGTTTTTGACTTCTGCTAACAGAAACTCGTCTTGAAAAAGACGTTTTAAACGTTTTTGACTTCTGCTCAGAAACGAGATATAGTGAGCAAGCAATTAAGCAGGCAAGCAAGCAGAAGCGAAGCTCGAAGCACACGAAGACACGAAGTTGCGGTCCACGACACTGGACACGTCTGTAGTCGTCGGCGGCACCGGAGCGAAAGGACGCGTCTCGCGGCACGCGCCCTATTATAGCCTCGCGCTGTGCTCGCGACATCGCGACGAACGGCGACCGCGACGGCGCATGCGCGCAGCCGCTCCGTCGAGCCTTGCGACGAACGCGCGCTGCTATTGGTCAATTGTATTTACATATGTGTGATAGTGTTTAAGTTAGCCATAAGACATGTAAATATAAGTAGGGATATGTAGCCGAATAAATCATTCCAAACCACGACAGCCTCGAGTTAATTACAAGAAGAAACCCTGCTCTCACTCCTAAATTGGTGATCACGTATTAGTAGAGACATTGTGCCGAATAAAACATTCCAAACCACGACAGCCTCGAGTTCACTAACAAGAAGAAACCCTGCTCTCACTCCGAACTGTGCTCGCGACATCGCGACGAACGGCGACCGCGACGGCGCATGCGCGCAGCCGCTCCGTCGAGCCTTGCGACGAACGCGCGCTGCTATTGGTCAATTGTATTTACATATGTGTGATAGTGTTTAAGTTAGCCATAAGACATGTAAATATAAGTAGGGATATGTAGCCGAATAAATCATTCCAAACCACGACAGCCTCGAGTTAATTACAAGAAGAAACCCTGCTCTCACTCCTAAAGACTCTTCAACGAACCATTTCAGAGCACCCCCTTAGTGTCGACACATTCACATGGAGCGAAGTCCAGTTTCACGGCTATTAAGAAAACAAAGGTAAGTTGACCTCGAAGACCTAGCTTCACTGACGAACAGACTGACAGACTACTATTCTATTTTGACGTTTCGAAAGTACCTATTTATGGTTTATTTGGAATAAATGATTTTGATTTGATTTGAAGAAGCTGGGTGTTCACACCAGGGCATCGCCTTATACTTTACAGGACGCAAGTTCGGCCCCATATGGAATACTGTGCTCATCTTTTCTTCATCATTCTCCTTTGCGAGCATCACGGCCTCACTGAAGGTTGCGACGGCACTCCACCCTGATTTGCTCTCGACCATAGTCGACACTACAGCCGGAAGCGAGAGATTTCCCGCAGCACCTACGGCAGCGACCAGGTCACGGCGCTGCTCAGCCCAAGCTGGGCATTCCACCAACGTATGCAGCGCTGTATCGTCGCGGCATTCACCACAGTGGTGGCGCTGAGACGTCGGATCCCGGTAATTGGAGGAATACCGGGTTGGTTTTTAGTCAGTAAGAGTCTGACAGTACCCGTCGCCCTACCCCGAGGGTAGTGGGTCTCCATGAGGATTTTCCAACCCAACACCAAAAAAAAGACACCCAGACCCGGAACAACAATTTGTGGATCACACAAAGAGTTGTTCCGTGCGGGAATCGAACCCGCGACACGTTGCACGGCAGCCAGTTGCCCAGCTACCGCACCAACCGTGCAGTCAAGTATTTAATCAGTGAATGAAAGTAAGTATATTTTAAGTGATACGGCGGCAAACGGTTATCCGGAATACCTGATGGTAAGCAATCGGCGCCGCCTGCGTTACCGGCCTTTTGGGGATTAGGGTTTAGGTGATTTTAGGATTGGGGTTACTGATTAGTCCTTCGGTAACACTCACACTGCAAAATACGACGCTGTGGTTGTTTCACGCCGGTTCTAGCTAATTTAGGAGAAATAAGTACCTAGGCTAACAAACAAAATGGACCTGGTACCTATTTATGAAAAAGAACTAGTGTTGTCATTTTTAAAATCTGTCAACAAGGACAATAAAGTCCTATGTCCTATGGACTTCACTCCCCGGACATTTGAAAGATAGTGTTAAAATGATATTTACGAACTATCTTAGTTATAGTGGTGTTTACTTGCAAATAAATATCTACCTAAAGCTAGAGACCTTATCAATAAACCTCTTTCGGGTGGGATTCCAAGATTAACTTATTGACCTCCATTAAAAGATTATACTTACTGAAAAAACAGCGTTCCTTTTAACTGACCGCTAATATCTTATAGCATCAATGAATAATTGTTTAAAATACTCAGTTCTTATCTACTTGGGACGCAAATATATTTTTATGGTATATGGCCGTCTACATAAGGAATGTTATTTTTTATCAGACTAAGGCAAAGCAAAGGGAGGATTATGGTTTTGACAGGCTATGTATGTATGTATGTTCATCTGTTCCATCGTAACTTCTAAACTAGGTACTTATTAGAATTCGACATATGACAGTAGACCGTATGTTTTTTTTTACTAAACTGATGACATACTGTAAAACTGGGTGAAAAGAATTTACATGACATAATATGTCTATATGTATATATATATATGAATAGTTTATACCCAACATCCGCATGAGGGGTGAATAGACACAAAAAAGGGGTAATTAGTTGTTGGCAAACTTCATAATCATAATTCTTTATTGCATCCACAATGTAAGATAAGATGGTAATAATATGTATAGTAACAATCATGGACCCTGATGGGCACAGCAAATAGTAAATAAGAAGAGAGGCAGGCTTGTTTTGTATAGAATTATGCACAAGTATTTCATATTCTAAGTATCTATAGTATTGCTATTATGTTTATATTATAATAGGTATTTAGATATTAATATATATATATATATATTATAATATATTTTCCTAGTAAACTTTCCTAGTACCTATCTATTTTCGGTTACTTCGTTCGCTTTAAAAGACAATACCTATCATCTTATGGTTTATCACGACTTACCTGAGTATATTATAAGAAAGAAAACTACTGCTGAAAATAGAGGTAGGTCGGTTTTCAGGCGAAAATAAATAATACAACAAAATTCCATTACACATTTTATTCAACATTACAAAATATTTACAATTACAGTGTATTTATACAAATTCACTCACACACGTATTTGCTAGAGGTAATTTGGCAATTACGGTATACATAAAAAAATTGTTCGATGACATAACAATTGAGTTTCAACTATAAATCTAACATAATAAGGCTTTGATTAGACTAAGTCGCTACTAAGACTGTAATGGTTTAACGTGAGCACGTTTACAACTTACTTTAAACCTTATAAACACGTACTTAGAAGATAATATTGATCAGAATGCAAGTTTCACTTTTTATAGGGTCTGAAGTAAGTCACAAACGCCTTGTAGGTAACATATATCTTGATATTGCTTCAATCAGGCACATTTCGTTACAGGTAAACTCACCTTATTGTATGACTTAGGTAAGTACTTAATTCGAAGAGACGACGTTTTGGGCTCTGAACCCTATGTAGGTATGGTTCAGTTTAATGTATTGTATTTTACTCCTATAATGCTGTGGAAGACTCGAAAACGTTGTGTCTCCGCATTAGGCAAGTCACATAATTAGGTAAGTTTTTCCGTACCATTTTTAATTTTAAGATAGTCTTTATATGATTTCAAATAGTATACTTAGATAAAACAAGTGTAGGATAAATTTATTTCAGCTAAGCTATTAATATTAGAACTGAAAAATGTGAAACGATAGGCTAATCATTAACAATGTCTTACACCCGGTTTCCGAAAGGCCGATCAATGTTAAAATCAATTTAATCTCTTGTCAAGTCATCTGATTGGTTAACTGAATTATCAACAACCAATCAGATGACTTGACAAGAGATTTAACAGGAGATTGATAGTTAATTTTGGCGTTGACAAGCCTTTCAGAAACCGGGTGTTAATGAATTAAATGGAACATACTTCAACTGTAGTTTCTCATAGTGTAGGCTATCTTTAATACATTTTGAGTTCTGTTGCTAATATATTAAGAAACAATTTAACTAAACCAGACTAGACTAATGATTATAAAAATCGCCTAATCACTTATAGTGATGATTCAAAATAATAATTTTAACATATTGGGAACATGATTGTTGGATATGCATGTTAGAATAATTATTTCATTTGTTCTTTTTTTATAATGTATGGCTTTATACATATAAATTGGCTTTTTTAATAGACTTTTTGAGGTTTCGAAAATGAACCTTAAAGCAGTGGAATAGCATAAAAGAAAACAGTAATTCCAATGAAGGTATTTGCAAACATTTTATGGCACTATCCTGCATTCAACTTACGCCCGCAACTGATTGTGATTTTTTATTACTTACCACGACTTTTTGTTCACTAAGTCGAATGCAATGAAGATATAAGTAAGAATGCGCTCACTATGGTGACGTTACAATACAGCGACTAATATTTCTCTGTCAGCCGACATGAATATTTTTAAAAACATTGCCACATACAAGGTTTTTCTCCTGTATCGTAGGTGCGTTTACAAACCTACAAAATCACATAGGTACACAAGCCACAGACCCGAAACAACAATGACCTGGAGTCCTGAAATACAGGGTTACCCTAGTTTAGGCTCCAGTCCACCCTTGAATTGTTACATACTGTCTAAACTGTTCCTAGATTAGTGGTGGAAAATAAATGCATTTTTATTAACAATTTATTGATCACACAGTGTTACTCCGTGCGGTAATCGAACCCGCGACACGTTTGACAGCAGCCAGTTGCCCGGCCACTACGTCAAATGTGTAGTCTAAAACACCTAAACATTCCTATGACAGTCTGCTTCCTAGTGACTTCATTTTACTATCGGCCTATCTCATTTTGAAATCCTTTACTTACAGAAATGCGTGGGGCTTGTCATTTACGAATAGTTTCAGTGAGCGCATTGTAAGGGACAGTAACAAAAGTCACGAACACAAAAAGTCACAAACAGCGGAATTAAATAATTGCCCTAATACTTAACAACAACAACAATGATAATTATTATGTTATTAAAATTATCCATACTAATAAGTACATACAAAACTGATAAAGAGCTGATTTTTCAATAGTTACTAAAAGTTACCTGGGGAATAATTATGATGCTGTCGCGTCAGAATGTTTGTATAAGACAGTGACAGCAACAATTTTATTCGTTAGATAACATTTATCTGGCTTTTGAAAAATCAACCTTATGGCAAATTTAACTAAATACTTCACATGGGTTGGTATATAAGAAAAAAATCGCCTTTTTTATAATAAAAGTAATGATAACACAATGTAAAATTTTACTAAGTAAATAATTAATTTAGAGGCACAGATTATAAAGATTTAAAACCACGATTAATTTGATATGATTAACCCAAAAAAGAAAAAGATTTAAATTGATTTTTAAACATCTTAGTGCCATCCGTCATTATAATAATCGTTTCACGATCAATTATGGTCTCTATGGCAGTGAAATTAAGGCGCATTTTATGTTTACAATTGACATTGAAATTTTTATATAGTATTTCTAAAATGCATTCTACTTAAAGCAGCTGCAAGTGTTATTTTGTCATTTGTTTGCCTTCGAAGTTATTCCTGCGGTAACTACCACTAATATATATTTTCATATTGATTATCTTTTATAATAATTATAAGTTTAATACTTAATTGTCATCTTATTCCATTTTAATATAATAATTTGTATTTACCGCGATAATATACTGTATGTATTCTATTGATCAATAGTATTCTCAAAATACAAGTAAATTAATATTTTGTTAGTGTCCACTGCAGAGAAAAGGCCTCTTTTCACATGGAGAAGGCTTGAACATTAATCACCACGCTTGCTCAAGGCGGATAAGTGATTTCAAACTTATGAATTCTGAATTCCTGACGACAAACTCCTTCATCAGTATTGATATAAATTAGAAGTCACATTGGTACTTGCCAGGTATGGTAACCCTCATGTATGAGAAGCGAGAGACTTCTTCCGACCACCAAATTGTATATTTGCAGTGAAATAGTTTCATTTAAATATAAAGAAGAGACCAAAGTTGGAAATAAGTTTCTCTTTAGCCTTACATTTTTTTTATCTTTATAAAATTTGTTTTCTCAATTTTAATTCCTTTGTAATTTCTATATGATTTAACGTCAACGATTGACACAAGAAGCAGCATCAGCATAGCTATGATGTTCATACATATCATCTTTTTTAAATAACTCAGGCTTGCCGACTAGCCTTGTCTGATTTTCTTTTGTTTTAATGACACGTAGTCAACAGCAAACATTGTAAAGGAAAAGCACGACAAAATATTTTAGGAATAAAATTGATCAATAGGTTTCAAACTATAAGTTTAGTTGACCGCGATAATTTGCGTTGAAATGTTATTTTTTATCCCTTGCTCTCCTTACCTCGATTCTTGGCATTCCTTTTCAAACTGCTATTACTGTAAACAAAACAATTTGAAATTGATCTTCATAAACTAAACGAACTGTAGGTTAGAGACGGCATTAAAATTTTAAAAAGCACAAAAACTTTTGTATTACAATTTGAATTTTGGCCGCGGAGATAAATTATTTTTTATTTTTATATTTAAGCTGCTATGAACAGCCAATTATTTTAGCATTATTATTAAAAAAAAAAAAACAAAAATGATATTGTTAAAAGTGGATGCCTTGTTGGGCCCCCGGGACTAGCTCCAGGGGCCCAATAAGGCACAATTAAAGTTAGATTAAGGGTGCATTATTTTATGCATTATGTGCTCGTTACTACTAAGCAAAGGTGACTCGTTTGTGCATTACATTGCGCATCCAAGCAAAGTGACATTAAAAACATTAACACAACTAATAATCCCCAATTATAAACATAACCTGTATAATAATTGTAAAACCATAGTTAGTACATAAATATCAGTTATTAGGCACATTGTAATGATGTTAATCTATTGTTTAATGTGATATTTTAAAATATTAAAGTTTTTGGACGGTAATGAATATATGATTTCGAGCAAAAATATACTGGAATCCAGTAAACTTATAGGTATTTAATTCCTAAATACCGTATTTATTTGACAATGTAACAACAGACTAAATAGGTCAAATGAATTAACATTACAAGGAATAACTTCCAAGAGTTTAAGCCTTCAAATACTAAAATAGAGTATTTGTATAGAAAATGGTAATGTAGGCTTATTTGCAATAGTAGGTAAATAGCTGCCTCTTAATCCAAAGTACTGTGGGATTTTTTAGTATAGAGAGAATAACAGGCAAGAAAAAAATTGTGTGTCGTGTTTTTCGAAACATTTGAAGCAAAAATACTACTAATAGGTAAATCTAACGCGGCAAACGTTATTATTTAAAAGCATTTAGGCAGCCCGGGTTTTCATACACATCTAAAATAATGGAAACTATATAAGGAATTTTGATGAAATGATATATTCTAAAAACGAGCAGATAAGAGTGTATTCCTTTGTAAAAAAAGTTGCGCACAAGTAAGTCAAGTTTCATTAAAATTGTTTCCAAGGTTTTCTACTTCAAATAATGTAAGTATAGAAAGAAATCCGTGCCGCGTACACGCTTTTACGTGTGTTTCTTAATTTTTACATGACGCTAAAGGCGAGAAAGTTTCTTACAGTCTAAGATATGATGGCAATCAAATATTTCATGCGAAAGTTTTTATTCAATTCTTTTCTTAGTACTTTTAGTACTAAATCTATAATATTAATTGTTCTACATTAATTAATTTCAAACATATATAAACGTTGTTATAGTAATAATTGGTTGAACCATAAAAGCTCTTATGTTGTATAGTTTTATGGATGGTTTTGTCAAATCCTATTTGGACGACCACAAACTAAATTAAACTTAGGACCATACTTATTAGTAAGAAAAAGAAACACCCCACCACAAGCCTATTATGGAGAATTTCATACACTTAATGAGTTAATAGTTAGGTGCCCATTCCAGTACTAACTATTCAAACATACCAGTAACTAGCTCTAGCCACTACACTCATCTACCTCGCTATCCCGGACCAGTGCTAAAACGCAAAATAGAAAAAAAACAAGATAAATTATTTAGTGATAACACGATTGTCATTGCTTGTTATGTGAAAATAAGGTTGAATTTACAATGCCATGGATCGAAATGGGAGTCTTTCTAAGATTTAAGAAAATTGAACTTTATGTGAACTATACTTTTGGCACTAAAATTACGACTATCCGAAATCTATATAAAGTTCAATATGCTATGTACTTACACTTTTTCCCTCCGTGACAATGTAAATAGTTTCAAAAAGAGTATTAAAATATTTTTCCTTCCAAAACAAATACGCAACCAAGCCATCACTAAATAATACACATAATCATTAAAATTATTAACTAAATACACTCAGAAATTGTATAAAAATGTGTGCGATGAACACCGTAACTTAATCAAAGGCATTTAGAATTTAAAACGCTAGCAATAAAGTTGAAATTCATAAGTTACGATGTTTCTTTGTGATCTGAAATAGCATCCTATTTTTGATTTCACTAACTCAAGATAAAATATTGAAAATGGATAAAATATATAGTTAAAATATTGGAAACAAGATGCTTTTCAGTTTTAATGGGGTCGAAATATAGTTGATACTTTTAACATTAACACTTCGCGACTTTATCAAAATCTTTATCATTATGATTGTAATGTAAAAATAGTCCAGCTTTTTTGATTTTAGTATAGAAAATTCCAATATCTAGTAGCACTTATTAACCAAGTATATTGCTCATATGATGTCAGTTAACTAAGCCTTAGAACTAGTGCACGAATGAGCAAAAATGTTAAAAGTGACACCAATTTCAACCCAAATACAGTGCAGAATTTGTCCAATTACACCATATATCCCTTTGGAAATAACAGTGATTGGCACTGATTGGCATGCCAGTCACATTTTGATTGGCATGCCAGTCAAACTAGTGCTAGCTACACCCGTATAAACCTCGTAAACACCTGTTTTACCGGCTAGTGATGTACTTAGGCTCCATGTGGCCGGTATCAGACAAGGACCGCAGGACTACATTTCCATTAGGCATAATGGATATCCATGTGATTGAGGCGTGGTTCAATGATATCCGAAGCCAACCTTCAGGTGGGAATTGGAGTGCCCTGAAAAGATTGGAAAAGAAACATAAAATTAGTGAAAGTGTGTTCAATATAACCGTCTTCGCAAACGTCTTCCTTTGTTTTTAATAATATTATTTTTTTCAGGATAACTAACACTAGGATATAAGTTATTTGTAATACTAACAAAATATGCATCAGTATTGTCCGAAATAAATGAATTTTAATTTAATTTAATTTAAAAAAAGGTGCAATGAAAATTATTATACATATAAAACTTTCACTTTAATTACTCTATCTACCAAAAAAGCGCATCAAAATCCTTTGCATAATTTTAAGGATTTAAGCATGCATAGGGATATAGGGATAGCGAAAGCGACTTTATTTTGTACTAAAACTTAAGGAGTTAATTTATTTATAATTAGGAAAAGAATTTCAATACACTAACGATCAGATTCTGTCTGAACGAAAAATATAATTAATTAATATCAGCACCATTTATGGTTGAAAAAAATACTAACTTGCACACAAAATACCGGATGACATTAGCATGGCAGACCAACAACGTGTAGGAATCTTCAGTCTGCTCCGGCGGCGCTCTGTAGAAGTAGCGACGGAACCCTGCCTCTATCCGCGCACTGTCCTGAAAGAACTGCTGCACGTGCCAAAAGGGTGGATTACTATACTCGCCAGTTGCATTCCAAACTACAACTTTAATTTAATGTAGGAAGGTAGAAAGTTGATTGAAGATATTTTGGGCCATTAATTATTAAGCGAATGTAAATTATAAGACTACTTCTATAAAAAATGGTGGCAGATTATTTTAAGGTAAGTTTAGAGCATGCCACTGCAATAATCAGCCCAAGTTAATAATAAGGCCCCGTTGAGTTACCCATGGGACCCGTTGAGTTACCCATGGGACCCGTTGAATTTCTCATGGGGCCCATTGAATTTCTCATGGGGCCCATTGAGTTACAGTCATAGATGAAAGCAATAGTAAATAATTTTAAGTTGATTGTAAGGAGAATTGTAATTCTTATGTTTTGTTTTGTTTAAGTTCAATGAAACTCCCAGAGGTTAGGGATGAGTACAGGAATAAAATAACAGGTTATGATAATGAAGAAAATCCGCCAGATTGGTTATCGAAGTGAAATGGAATATGCAAAACTGGTTCGTATAAAATGTACAGAATATTAAAATATTGAAAACACATGCAATGAAACAATTAAATTATAAACAGCTAAGCAAACAATTCGAAGAAATTTCGCTCACATACATGCACCACACAAATTTAAAAAAAGTATGAATGTAAGTTTTTTTTTATATTTCAATTGAAAATTACTGAACGGATATGAATGAAATTGTCTGGCTATTTAGTTGGTACTGCGGGAGAAGACGAAGAATCAAGTAAGTTATAAAGATATAATGTATTTAGCCTTGGTCTTGCATTTTATTCCCTTAAGACATAAAAAATATTTCCATCCTTTAATTTTAAATTTTGCCCTACACTATGATTTTCTTCTGTGTTGTGGATGCGTTTACAAACATACAATTCACATAAACATGATATCCAAACGTAGAACTACAATTTCCGGATCACACAATTGTTCCGTGCGGGTATCGAACCCGTGACACGTTGCACGACACCCACCGCGTCAACCGTGCAGTTGTCATAATCATCTAAGGCCTGATTTTTCAATAGTCAGATAAATGTTATCTGAGGAATAAAATTGTTGCTGTCACTGTCTTTTACAAACATTCTGACGCAACAGCATCATAATTATTCCCCAGGTAACTTTTATGTAACCATTTAAAAATCAGCCCTAAATCATTCAATGACTTCTTTTTGTCTAGGCGGTGCTTTCCGACTTTTACTGACTAAACACTATCCCCCTTCTTTTGCTTCGGGTCGGGGTCCCGGTAAGTTATTGTGCTTGAAACAACCCCGGTTGAAAATCAGCGCTGTTGTTAAGGCAAGGCTGCCAGTCATATAGCTTTAATTTATGTAAAATAATGCATTCCAAAGAACCTACAACATATTGAAGGCAACATTGTAACGAGAATTATTTTCAAAAAAGGTTATCATCAGGTGATCTTTGAATTTGAATTTGTAAAGGTTGTTGTGCTAAATATTGCACAGGATATGCTTTATGCAGTTATACTGCATTCAGTGTTTTAAAATAGACTGAAAAGATACATAGTGCATGGGTTATTCCTTTGTATTACATTGTAGGATGGGAAGAACTGAACCTTGAGCTCAATCACTTAAATTTAGAGACTTATGTCATGAAGTAGACGGAAATGGGCTTATGACGATTTTGTTTTTTTTTATGAAATAGACCGGCCACCGACTTATTACCTGATGGTAAGCAATCAGCACCGACCATGGAGATTCGTAATGCCAACGGAATTACTAAAAGTGCTTTGCCGGCCTCTTGTAGGTTAGGGTTAGGGATTTACGGATAGATATGAGTATAGAGTGGAGGGATTTTATTTATTTATTATAAGGTAGGCTCACAGCTTATGTATACAAAGTGGTTTTAAGTATTGGTTATAGGCAGTAGGTCATATACTTTAGCCAGTTACGAGCTAACCAACATTCCAAAAATTGTAAGAGGGATGGGGGAGATATAACAAAGTGTTGCTTCACGCCGATTTTCTGAGGCCGTTGTATCACTCCAATCAAGCCGGCCCTGTGGAAGCATGGCTCTCCCACACTTAAATACTGCTGCTGATTGTAATGATCTTTTTAATGGGGTGGGGAAGTTTGAGTTGACAAATCACGTCAGTAATCAGGACAGGACTGTCCATGGCCACACACAACACTTAGCTTCTCGATTGTGTTAATTGGCAGGTATAAAATAATTTATAACATAATTATTACTCTTTGACCGTGAGTGACCATCACACCTGTTTCATTATATACGTAGGTTATAAAAACTTGAATAATTGGAACTAAATGTAATCTTCGAATTGTTTGCAAAAATGTTAACAATCAGCCATTAACCTAAATCAATGTTAGCTAATAAACTAAATTTTAATAATTATTGTATTTATTTTTTATACGAACTCTTTAATATAAAATGATATAACTATCAAGATTCTCTACCTTTAGTTACCCACTTAAACCGATAGACCATAGAGATGGTATCTTGAAGTATATCAAAAGTAACACTATATAAAATTGTACGTACTTTTGGCTCTGGTCTCCAATGTCCAACGGGAGGTTCTGGAGGTATAGGGGCTCCTTCCTCAATGAGCTGACAATTCTTCACTTCAATATTCTTATCAAGATGTTTGGCTATGATATTGGCAGTTTCCTGAGCTCGTGTCATCGTGGACTGAACTAATAGGTCCCATTTGATGTCTAGAAGAGCCAGTCTTTGGCCTGTGAAGTCCGCTTGGAGTCTTCCTGTAATTTTTATCAGAAGTTTTTTTAACTGCCCCAAATAACTAATGAAAAGACGTCAGGTGGCTGTGCGATTTTCGCTGAGTCGCAAACATGCGGAACACTGGTCATGAATATGAGCCCCGATAGTGGCTTGAAACTAGTCGAGTGCCTTGAATGGTTTTGAGGTGAGTGGAAAGTATGAATAATGATGTCTGTTGTGTAGAAGTTGGAATCCTAATCGTGACACAATTTGTTACCGGCCTTTTGAATATTGTTTGGGATTGAGGTATTGAAGCTGAGGCAAGACCTCCATTGAGTTTGATGGAAAATATAAACTCTTTAGTACATCTTTATTATTATGCCATAATATTCTTTATAGGTTAAAACTACATAGTAAAATTGTATTATTTATGTGACAAGAAGTAGCCCTAGAAACATTTTATTTATAAAGATAATATTTTATGACAGTGTAACATATTATGTAAATCGTTAATAAATCATAATATTTACTACATACTTATGTATTTCTTAATTATTGTTATATTCTTAGCATCTTTATAACAGAATAGATTGTGGCATTTAGTGTAATAGATATAAAAAAAAAGAAATTCAAAAGAAACAGAGTTAGAAATAATTAATATCTTTATTTATTTATTTATTTATTTGGACAATCAGTAGTTGTTACATTAATACTTAACTTAACTTAATATTATTTTAAAATAATACATAAATGCACAACATTTTAAGATGTCACAGCATGCATCATAAGGTAACACTGGTTTTATAATACCCATTCAGTAATTAAAAAAAAATATTGTTGTACTAGCGAACCGCCCCAGGCTTCGCACTACTTAATGGATGTTATTATACATATCAGCATTCCTCCTCAATAAATCTATCTATTTAAAAAACGCATCACAATTCCTTGTATCGTTTTAAAGATTTAAGCATACAAAAGGCGACTTTGTTTTATACACTATAACCTAGTGGTGATTATAGTATGTAAGTACTAAGTAGTACTTTATAGTATGTAAGTACTTTATTAGAGATCACAAAAAATAATAATTTTTAATAAACCTTTGCCTTATTCTAGAATTTTCTTGTGCCATGGGTGTGTTTTTAACATACAATTTCACATACAAATCACACCTAGACGCAGACCAACCATCTGTAGGTCAAACAAAGAGCTGGCAATTTAAAAAATAATGAAGTATTATCTGGCTATTAATTAAAAAACTATTAAAATTAAATTAATAACGAGTTTAAGCGTCAAACGCTTAAAGATGGATAACATTGTAGAAAGAATAGTTGAATTTGGAAATCCCTAATTTATTTTTAACTAGCTTTTGCCCGCGACTTTGTTCGCGTGGAATAGTGACTTCTTGCACGTTTGGTTTAAAAACTATCCTATGTTCTTTCTCGAGTTCCAAACTATGTCTGTATCAAATTTCACACAAATAGGTTCAGTAGTTTAGGCGTGAGGAAAAGACAGACAGAGTTACTTTCGCAATTATAATATTAGTTTGTATTGGATATGATTGCACAATTCCTAATACATATATATCACTTTTTTTGAAGCCCGAATGAGTATCTATGTATAACCTAGTTTAGGTATTGATCTTCAGTTTTTCTAAAGACTTAAAGACTTTACTTCACATTAGGATTTAATTTGGGGTCGTGGGTGCCATAACATACAATGTAATGTCCATTGTAACTACAGTATTTATGTAAATATGTCTGTTAAGTTATCTAAGCTAAGAAGCAAAACAAGAAAAAAATTGTATTGATTAGAACTTGAACTACCGGCTACTTAGTCGTACTACGTAATCTTATACATAGTTAGAGTGATTGAAGAGGAAGACTTGTGTGTAGTAATGTCTGTTAATTCATAAAACCCCAAGGGAACGCCGGCGTTTCCGCACCTATTGTATCTTGAAATACTAAGATTTAAAGGTTAAATAGTGGAGATGTTTGGTATCAGCATTGCACCTGTGTGAAGCCGGTTTCGGTTCGGTATTGGATCATAAAAATATTTGGGTAGTTTCCTAGGTCAAAAATATATATATATATTTTTTTTATTTATTTAATATGTCGGCAAACGAGCAGACGGATTACCTGATGGTAAGCAATCAGCGCCGCCCATGGACACTCGCAACGGAGGAGTTACAAGTGCGTTGCCGACCTTTTAGGGATTAGGGATTTGGAGATTTAGGGATTGAGGAGGGATTGGGGGAGGGGAAGGATTGGGCCTCCGGTAACCTCACTCACACGGCGAAACACAACGCTGTGGTTATTTCACGCCGGTTTTCTGTGAGGCCGTGGTATCACTCCGGTCGAGCCGACCCATTCGTGCCGAAGCATGGCTCTCCCACACTTTAATTAATTCGACGTTTAACAACTACAAAAATAACTATACCTTTATTCATCGATTGATCAATACACTAAGTTTTAGATATTTTTTAGGTAATTATTAAGAAATAAGTAAGCTATTTGACGCAAAAATGCTATGACGTCATAACTCAGTGTTTCATATAAACTTCATAGAAAAGTATCGTTTTGGACATTTGGATAAAAGTATTGAATTTGACTAGTTGGGAACTACCGTATTGTTCAGTACGAAAACCTTAACTTGTTCTGTAGCAGTTGATGCTAGTATGAAGTGTATTTAGAATTAAAATGATTTAAACATCTCACCTAAGTCCGTAAGAGTCCTGTCCTTATCCTTGGCTCCATCAACATTGTACTGTCCGTGTCTGATGAGGAACAGGTGCCTCACAGCTCTGCTCTTGGCTTTTTCCAGTTTCTCATTATACTTGTTGTCATCTTCCTCACGTCCATGCCGTATTGGTTTTACTATACATTCTGGTTCACGGCTACAAATGGTAAAAAATATGTATAATAATATTATAAAGAGATAAAATTTATAATTTGTAAGTTTGTATGTAGGGGGTAATCATTGGAACTGCTTTTTTATGGTATAAGTCGGCAAACGAGCAGACGGATTACCTGATGGCAAGCAATCGGCGTCGGATTTCCAAAATTCGGTCATTGTGAGATAGCTACAGTGTTCCCGAGTGCTACGATCAATTGGAGCCGATCAGCAAGTGAAACCGCGCGAGATTAGCAAGTGATTCATATCTACATACATACATAAGAGTGGGGGGATTCATAACCTGGCAAGTACCAATGTGATTTTGCTAAGACATATATTATATTATGGAGTTTGTAATAAAATTGTATTTAGACACAGTTGACATACGGTATCGCCAATCCACTTTGAGCAAGTGTGGTGATGACTTTCGTTGGTAGTGGTGAAGGATACACACGTGCTTTTATCGGTACTACGATTGTTGTCAATTCTAGTGATCTTATTCATAGTGATCTGAATTGAGTCTTTTGTGTTGTTTTATTGTGTGTGTGTGTGTAATTTTAATAAGGTATTTGGTAATTTAAGTTTTAATATTAAGTGTTTCCTTCTTAGACTTTTTTCCTCTGTCCAAGATGGACGAGGAGAAGCCTCCGGACCCCCCGGATAAATCCCCGGACATTAAACCACTTTTAACTGTAACTCTCCCCAATGACAACCCTGATTTCGAACCAATGGACTCCGAATCATCATCTAACAGAAAGAGACCTGCAGGCTCCCCCCCTATCTCCCGCACTAATCCCCCAAAAGTGGTCAAAAGTGTCAATGGTAGGCAATGTTACACTGTTAAGGACAACCCCCCATATATTGTGTATGTCTCCCTTAAGGACTCCCAGACGTCTGGTACCACTCTCCATCCAGTAAAGTTTGGGATGTTCCTAATGCGGAACAACATAAGCAATATTAAAATTGGTGGTGTAAAACGGCTAGGAAGAAACAAAGTTTCAGTAGAATTTCTGTCGCACCAGGATGCCAACAGTTTTTTAGTGAATTGCGTGGTGGCACAAAATTATATTACTTCAATTCCTCAGTTTAACATCACGAGAATGGGCATAGTAAGGGATGTTCCCGTTGAGTGGTCGGAAGAGGAGATTATCAGCAACATCAGGGTTCCTGCGGGATGTGGTGTTGTGATAAAAGCAAGACGAATGAACCGTAAAGTCTCTTCACTAAATGGTACAGAATGGAAACCTACCCAGACTGTAGTCTTGACTTTTGATGGCCAAATTCTACCTAAAAAAGTGTTTTGTTTTTATTCTGCTCTCCCTGTAGAATTATACTCATACCCAACAATACAATGTTTTAACTGTTGCCGTTTTGGACACACCCGCACATTATGCCGTTCGAAACCACGTTGTTTCAAGTGTGGTCAGGATCATCCTGGTGATGGATGTCAACTAGCAAGTGAGGTTGCACATTGTATTAACTGCAGTGGCAATCATTTTGCAAACGATAGTGCTTGTCCTGAGTTAGGCCGCCAAAAGAGCATTAAAGCTCTAATGGCGGAAAAATCCATTTCATATGCTGAAGCAAGCCAGGTTTTCCCCCCTGTCAAAAAGTCATATGCTGAGGTATCCAAATCAACCAACTACATTGACTCAACACCTACCAAAAAACCATCCCAACAAAGAATGTCATATAAGAAAACAGTCCTTCTTAAACCTAAATCCCGTGCCCCCCTTTCCCCTAGTTATGATAAGAAGGCCCATCAGGCCCTTATCCAAGACTATTCCTTTTCCCCATCTCAAAATGGTTGCGCTTTCCCTATGGAATTCGGAACCAACAAACATAGCTCCAAAAACATTTTAAACATTATTTCCAATATGTTGATGGCGGTGTTATCCAACCCTGCCCAAGTAGTACCTGACCACGTTGCGGAAAGACTGGCTACCATTCTAGATTATATTTACAAAATTCCTCCCATTAACTCTCCTTCAGTGGAACGTGAGGAGTATTCTTCCCAGGAAGAGTGACTTACTCCACCTAATTAATAAATTCCAACCTTTAATTTGTGGCATTGCTGAGACATGGCTCCTAGCAAATATTAATTTTAGGATCCCAGGTTTCAGTGTTGTCAGACAAGATAGATCTGATGGTTATGGAGGTTGTGCTTTGTTAGTTAATAACAAAGTACCCTTCTCCCAGATCCCTCTACCCTTCGTTGGCGATGATATAAATGTTGTCGCTGTTAAGGCTGAGGATATAAACTTTTTTGTGTTTTATATTTCCCGTCCCCATAGTAATCATATCATTTTAATTAAGAACTTGTTAAATTCAGTTAGCGGCCCTACACTAGTAATGGGCGACTTCAACTGCCATCACTTTCGATGGGGGTCTGAAGTATGCGACAGCATAGGTCACGACCTAGTAGAAATGCTGGATGAGCTTGACTTTTGCGTCATTAATGATGGTAGCCCCACCCGTAGGTCTGCAATTGGTCAAAGAAACAGTTGCGTGGACTTGACTTTCTGCTCATCTAGTGTGGCTAGTGGGCTAAATTGGAGCTGTTTAGATATGACCTATGGTAGTGATCACTATCCCATTATTATTAAGAGCCTAACTAAATCTATACCAGTCAAATCACTTCCCCCCCTTTTAAAGTATCGGTTGCATTCAGTTGATTGGGATCTATATTCAAAATTATTAGACCTTCGCATTTCTGTACTACCTACAGTTAATGCTGAGAACGCATTAGAGTGTTTTTCCAAATTTTCCGATATAATAGCTTCCACAGCTAAAGACTGCTTCCCGGAGAAAACCACTCCAAAAGGAAAAATCCCCTCCCCTCCTTGGTGGGATAGTGAATGCACTGCCATGATAAAAGCTAGGAATGAGGCTGAAAAGACATATAACCACGATATGAACCTGGAAAATCTCCTAAACTTCAAGCAGATATTGGCTAAGTCAAGGAAGCTGTTTAAAAAGAAGAAGAAACAGGGTTGGCGGAGGTTCTGTAGTTCTTTGAGCCCGTCCACTCCGGTGGCAACAGTTTGGCAGAGGGTGAAGAACTTTAGGAACTCCTCTAAACCTCCTTCAATTTCCATTTTACCTGATAGTCTAAGTCATAAGTTCTTTGCCAATGTTGCTCCTATTTATGTTCCCAGTGAAGACGAATGTTGTTGGGAATTGTGTGAAGGATCGCATGACCCCCTCGACATGAAGTTCACAATGGAAGAGCTACAAACGGTACTGAGCCATGTGAAAGACTCTGCACCAGGTATTGATGGATTTCCTTATTCCTTCCTATCAAAAGCAGGAACCAAAACCAAACAGTTCTATCTTGACTTGGTAAATTTTTGTTTTATTTCTGGCTATATTCCTCCCATCTGGAAGGTTCAGGTTGTTATGCCGCTGTTGAAAGCTGGTAAAGATCCTGGTGATCATTTGTCTTACCGACCTATTGCACTATCGTCCATACTTTTAAAAATTTTTGAACACCTCATAAAGAACCGTTTAGAGTGGTCGGTGGAAGGCCGGGGGCTGCTGCCGGCGACTCAGTTTGGCTTCAGAAAAGGTCTGGGTACGGCTGATAGTGTGGGGACCCTCACATCAGCCATCAGGCTGGCTCTTAGCAGGGATGAGTCGTTGGTTGCGGTCTTCCTGGACGTTTCATCGGCTTATGACTCTGTTCTCCTACCCCTTCTCAGGCAAAAGCTGCATAAGCTGAGAATCCCCAGTAGGATTTGTCAGATCATAAGTCACATCCTCTCCAACCGCACTCTCCAATTGAGAACTCCTGGGGAGAACCCTGTTCAGAGATCCGTCTGGAGGGGTTTACCTCAGGGATCAGTCCTTAGTCCCATCCTTTTCAATATTTACACACATGATCTCCCTTCCTGTTTAAACTATAATTGCAAAGTCTTACAGTATGCTGACGATATTGCATTGATGATCACCGATAACTCTATAGCAGATGCTGCCCTCTCCATGAATGTCTCTTTGTCCTCTTTAAACCAATGGCTACTTAATCATGGGTTATGTTTAAGCGCACCAAAAAGCTCGGCAGTCATTTTTACGCGTAGACGCCGTCCTCCTGACCCCCTCATAGAGGTAGACGGTCAAGCTATTTCTATTACGAACAGTGCTCGATTTCTGGGTGTTACCCTGGATTCGAGGATGTCAGGGGTGGATCACGTGGACAGTGTTGTCAGAAGGTGCGAAAGATCTGTATCTGTACTCAGAGCACTGGCTGGCGTATGGTGGGGTGCCAACCCCTACACATTGAAGCTCGTTTACAATGCTTTGGTTAGAAGTGTAATCGATTATTGTTGCTTTCTTATGGCACCATGCAATAAGGAAGCATTTAAAAAGCTGGATTCCATTCAGGCCAAATGCCTAAGAATAACTATTGGAGCTATGAAATCATCCCCCATTAATGCTCTACAAGTCGAATGTGCAGAACCCCCCCTCGATCTTCGGAGACAATACCTAGCGGACCGTTTCATTTCGAAAGTCCTATCCCTCTCAACACATCCCCTACTCCCGATCTTGGAACAGATCCATTGCTCCTACAGTTCCTCTTCATATTGGAACAATAAACCAGTCCCTCCTGTGATTGTTAGGTATAGGGAACTTAAAAACCTCTCTGCACCCATCAATCAATATCCTGTGCTCCCGGTCTTTTCTTCCGCATATGAAGTTATCCACTTCAGGCCAAGTGTTGTCTTAGAACTAGGCATCACAAAATCTTCAGTACACGCTAATGACAAATTCAAACGCGCGCTGAACAATTTTTGGAGAGGCTGGAATTTGTTTTACACAGATGCATCCAAACTGACCCCTAATGGATGCACGGGAGTGGCAACATATTACCAGAATTCAAGAATTGCTTTACTCGCCAATTGTCCGTCTGAGGCCTCTGTGTTTACTGGAGAATGTATTGCCATTTTGGAGGCTATAAAATTTATAAGAAGTCACAACCTTAATAATTCGGTGATCTTCTCAGACTCCAGAAGCAGTCTTCAGGCTCTTTGTCAGGTCCAGCTTCATTCCCGAACATACAGTGGCTTAATTGTTGAAATTAAGTCACTGTTGTTTTCGTGCCAAAAGGATGGCCTCAAAGTTGAAATCGCTTGGATCCCTGGACACTCTGGTATACGTGGTAACGAATGTGCGGATACGTTGGCAAAGTTTGCGGCCTCGAACAATGTGAATCAACAGCATCACGTTGTATACGGGTATGATGTACGTGCGGACACAAAACGCAGGCTTTTCGATTCTTGGGCTGCAGTGTGGGTAGACACTTCCAAACGGAAAGGAGTCTACTACTCCAATATCCAACCCAACATCCAGCGGAAACCTTGGTTTTGCAGATATACTAAACTCCCCCGACACACTGTTACAACTTTGTGCAGGCTCAGACTCGGCCATTGTAGCAGTCCAGTTTTCCTTAAAAAGATCCGTGTTCGTGACAGCTCGCTGTGCGAATGCGGTCTTGATGAGGGTACTTTGGACCATATTTTCTTTTCTTGCCCCTTAAACTCCCAATCCTTCGACCTTTACAAAAAACTTCCCAATATCCAAATCCCCCTCCCCATCAACTTCCACTCCCTCTTAACTCACTTCTCTTACAAATTAATAAAATGTCTATCCAAGTTTATTAAAGATAATGATATTAAACTGTGACGGTGTGTAATATTATATTATGGTATATGTATACGTATATTTCAGTTGTGTATGTCCTCCTATTTATCCTTATTATATAATGTAAAGTAGAACAGTATAAAATAAGTAGCTATAGTTTTACTAACCCATGTGTTGTCCTTTCAGCTACTAACAACAAACTACCACAAAGTTAAAGTTCGACGGGCCCATAATCTGCCGTCACTACTTGACACTGGCAGTATAGTCGACAACATTAAATTGGAGACTCGGTTGCCATAAAGAAGAAAAAAAAAAAAAAAAAAAAAGTGTGGTGATTAAAGCTTTTGCTCAGCTCAGTAAAAACTAGTAGGCTGATGTTGTTATAAAATTTTACTTGTCATAGAAGCAGAAGAATAGTTAATTAGTTTTTTCTATTAGATCATTGAGATTTTAAAGTGTTAACTAAATTAATGTGCTAATGTATTTTTATTATTCAGCATTTGTTAAAGTGCATAATTATTTATATTCACTGTTAATTTAAAATAAAAAAAACAACCAAATGTTTTTTTAAAATTCACTAACATCAATCTTTGTGTTTTTATAATAACTATCGCGCAGACGCACTCTGCTCATGAGGAAGAACCCGTCTGTGGTTCGACACTAGTAGAGCTTTTCTCAATATATACACGTGAGTAACCTGCGATTTTTTAGTTAATCAATCTTTGTCATCATCGGCCCTATAAGTGCCTTATGCTAAGCAAAGGTATTGTCATAAAACAAAGTACCTTCAAATGATCAATCAAAATCATTTATTCCAACTAAACCATAAATAGGTAGGTACTTTTGAAATGTCAAAATAGAACAGTATTCAGCCAGTCTGCTCGTCAGTGAATGAGAAAGCAACTCCATAGTTACTCTTGTTAAAAAATATTTTTGTTTTACAATTCACTAATAATACATTTTGTATACATTATTGTACCCCTATGTGAGAACAATGCCTTTCAACATAGATCACCATTCTTGCTCAAGGTGGATTGTCAATTTCAAAGTTCTGAATAGAAATTATGGGTCCAAATTTCCTAGGAATATTCTCCTTGACTTTATATCAGTGGAGTCTTCATAATCTGAGAAAACACCTTTTTAAAACAAGTCATGTTGGATAAACAACAAAATATGATAAAGGCAGAATACAACTATCTAATTTTAAAAACAATTAGGAATTAGTAATAGATGCAAAAAAACTTGTTTACCAATTAGAATTTAAAGTATAACACTTGATAAATTTTTTGATGCTTCTATTAAACAGCATTCCTGTTGGAACTCAGACCTTGATTTATTTTCCTTGATATCTACTACATCTATATAATATGTTAAATGACATCTTATACACCATAGTTTGGCTGAGTTTACAATAAATACTTTTTATACATAAATAATGCCAAGAAGTCTTTATTACTTGTAATTGACATAAAAATTGAATCTTGCTTCTTACTTTTATTATAAATACGAATGTTATGATGTTTGGATGTTTGTTACTCAATCACACCAAAACAGCTGGACAGATCTTTTTTGGTGGCAAATTTGGCACAGGCATAGGATACAATCCGGAATAGGGTATAGGCTACTTTTTATCAACATACCATGTGGGCGAAGCCGCAGGCAGAAGCTAGTTAGGTTAATAAATATCTACTGCAAAAGTTTACTTTTGATCAGGATGTATATTCTATCAAGTGTTCAGAACAAAAACCTAAGCAAACTTGTTTTTGTATTAAATCACCTTATATCATCATAGGAGATAAAAACTGTAGGAAAAAACGAAACACAACTCAGAAATGTATTTATTATTTAAAAGAATTAAGTAACAAAATAAATGTAAGTATTCTGTATGAAAAGACTATTTTGAAGTTTATCCTTGAATTATAAAACATGGCTATATAAAAAAATTCTTTGTTAGTTACAGTTACAGCTACAACAAAGTTTATTCTCAACATGAAAAACTCTTTGTACTGCTTACAGTTTTTAAAAAATAAAATTACAAACCATGTTGAATAACTTATATTTAGATCCTGGAGAGTGAATGTCCTTTGTATTTTTAAGAGATCATAAGGTAAACGAACTTCGCTATATTACGTTTCTATTTTAAATGTGTTTCATACTATTTTGGTATCAAAACATTTTAGTAATCTGTGTCATGACCTGCATTTATTAGATACAAATTCAACAAGACCAGAATTCTCTGACTACGATAAGATAATCATTTGAATACCAAAGTATATAATAAAAGTTTGAAAATTGCTTTAGACACGCTATTTACTAAGCAATTAAGCAAACAAATGATTACAAACGGTTGACGATTATAGGTCAATTTAGTACTGAATAATTTATACTTACTGGTCCCAATTTTTATCCCACTGCACGCTAGGAGTAAAATTCGTCGTCCACGAATTGAAAGCGCTGTATTTCCTTTCATTTTTATCACTATTTATTCTGTAGTATGCCAAACCGCCTCCGACGGCACCCAAACTTATAAGAGCGATCTTTTGAAATCTAGACAGCGATGCCATTTTGATTTTAGTGATTATTAATCAGGCAATCAATTATCATTTGCTAGGATATTGCAAACTGTACTTATATTTTTTGGGAATTAATTTAAATTAAATTTAAAATCGTTCACGAAAATAACCTCGTTACGACAACAACGTTTCGTGAACTGACAGAATGAAAGAGACTGACAGACTGCCACTGTCATGCATGCGCGAGTTGTCAAACTAAAGAAAAGTGACTAATGGCACGAGCGCTATTGAAAATCGACTATTAATAACATAAATTTCGTAGGTGATTTCTATTAAAACCACAAAAATTATAGAATTAATTGACTTAGAATTGAATTAATACAATGATTTGAAGTGAATAAATTTGAATCTTACAACATTAATATTGCAAAGCGGAGAAAATTACAATCAATTCGAAGTCACAAAAAATAGTAAAATCAAAGGTTTAAATAATTAATAAATAAACACAAATACCCGTAACAAATTATTTACTTATATTATAAATAAACCCCTGACAATATTGTGGTATGACAATAAACTTAATTTTTAGTCTTTCTCGGATTCAAGATGATAGGATAACCGTTTAATGATACGACTGAAATAGATATAGCTACACGTAGATCATCGTAAGTTTCGGTTGAAGAAAGTTCAAATTCTCTCAGTACTCGAACACAAATTGTTTTCACTAATTTAGTCCCGAAGAATCGTCCTGGAAAGAAAAATACGATTATTAGTTAAGTCACTAAATAGGCAAGCAAACTTTTTTTATGTAGGTAATCGTTGGGCAAAATTAATGTCTTGTGGAATTCTCAACTCTTATTTTGGACAAGTAGGTCACACTAACCGTGTTGACCTGACACACCTAGTGATTAAGTAAGTGATAACAAACAATTATGTAGGTATCCCTGAATAGAGAAACCAATCCTCGATGTATGTACAATATTTTTTTAAACTTTCATTGTTATAAGATACCTTCATCTTACTGATTAATATTCGGGTTCTTTCTGATTAGTATATGGGTGCGTGCGACTGGGTTTGCCTACACTAAGGGGGTTTATCTACACCAAGTACACCACAGAAATATATAAATATAAGCGAGGTATCTACACACCTAAATACTAGAAACAGACAACCTACATTAAACTTTCTCACTTTGGTAAACCTCCTTGTACTGGATTCTCAGTTATGGACAGAGCCATATAAAGAAATCATTTTTTAAGGGACACCGGGCTATCGAACAGGCTTGTCACTTGATGGTTTTTTTTTTTGTGACGGGATCGGATCATCAAATGGCTTTTCTCGCCCAAAGTGAGAGGGAATGTCAGACTCTTACTGACTGAAAACCACCCCGTTACTTCTTCTGGTCCAGATCGAAGACGCGGCACCTTTTTTGTATTTTTTTACGTTGCTCTACACTAGGACTTTCATCTGTGTCGTGGGTGCGTTTACAAACATACAATTTCACATACACATCCGGTGTTGTTCCGTGCGGAAATTTAACCTGCGACACGTTGCTTAGCAGCCATTTGCAAAAGCCACCGCGCCAACCGTAAACACTTTGCAAATTACCCATCTGACCTGCAAATTATTGCAGTAACTTGACGGTTAGCTATGATAAAACATACCCAAACAGTCCATTTGACCCAAACTAAATGGTATATAAGCGTTAGGGTTGCGTGTCTTCACGTTTTCAGGGTTAAAACGCTCTGGGTCAAATCGATCAGGTTCAGTCCAGAATCTAGGATCCCTGTGTAAGTGGAATATGGGTGCCACCAAAGAACAACCAGCGGGAAGAGTGTAGTCACCTGAAATGGAGAGAAAACCTAGATTAGTATTGTTCGTAGATTACTCTTAGTTTAAATGTGGGAAAGCCATGTTTTGGCACAGATTTATTGGCTAGACCGGAGTGATACCACGGTCTCACAGGAAACCGGCGTGAAACAACCACAGCGTTGTATACCGTCATGTGAATAGATAAGAAAGGATTGGGCCTCCGGTAGGCCCAATCCTGCTCAATCCCTAAATCTCCGTAACTTTTATCCCCAAAAGGCCGGCCACGCATTCGTAACTCCTCTGGTGTTGCGGATGTCCATGGGCGGCGGTGATTGCTTACCATCAGGTTATCCGAATGCTCGTTTGTCGACCTATCACATAAAAAAGCATGTGCATTATGTGCTACTTATATAATATTTAATTAGTTTGACTTCACCACTGCCTCCTTCTCATCATCATTCAAGAAGATTTTTTTCTATCAAAAACTATTTTTTGCAACATCAAAATGCGTTCCACACGTCAGCAAATCTATTTACCTACCTCTAATAACATTATAGGGCAGACTTCAATTAGTATTAGAAAGTATTTTAGTGCGAAATCAAACATTATTCAAACTGCAAACATTAAACTTAGGTACTTATAGCAATATCTTCGTTGACCGTCCTCTGCAAAATAGCTCCTATTGGGTACAGCCTCAGCACTTCTTTGAACACCATTTCTAGATACGGCATACGCTTCAAGTCATCATCAGTCACATATCTGTCCTCATCACCGATAATACTCTTTATTTCTGCGTAGAGCTTTTCCTATAAACAAAACAACAATGAAATAAGTATAAAGACTTATACTCCACCTTTACTAATGCCATTTTGTGTTCATGATAGGCTGTTTTTGAGGCGAAAATTCATCAAACATCTTCTCCCGGACGGGTTGAGCAAGAATGAGTGTCAAACTCTTTTCTGACTAGAAACTACCCGATTCCTTTCCCTAATAGAAAAGGGACCGCATTAAATTATTGTGATCTTGAATCCGAAACCCCGACTGGTTTTTGAAAAGGTTTTAAAGCTTTGAACGAACCATTTCCATTTTACTTACCGTAATCAGAAGTGAGATTTTTGGAGAAGCTAATAAGTAACTTACCTGGCATTTTGGATGATAAGCCATCATAAGGAGAACGTAAGACGATATTTTTGCTGTCGCCTCTTGACTCTGAAATCAGAATGATCAAATTTTGGAAACTATTATCGAAAAGTCGAATTAATTGGTAGCCATTGATTGGTGCAAATCTATACTTCTATACAAATATTATAAAGTAAGTTTGCATGTTTGTAAGTTTCTATGTAGGGGGCAATTTTTGGAACCGCTGGTCAAATTGCCAAAATTCTTTCACTGATACCTAGATAGCTACAATGTTCCTGAGTGCTATAAAACATCACGCTACAATCAAATGGAGCTGAGCAGCGGGTGAAACCGCGCGAGAGTAGTTAAAGATAATATGCTTTCTGCCTTAAGGTTTTAGTAAATTGATATCTAAAAAAGCCCTACGTAAGTTTGGGAGGCAGGGCTCTCCCAAACTTACGTAGAGAATTGTTTAGCAAGCAGCTTCTGCACGAATGGCTTGGCTCGGTCGGAGTGATACCGCGGCTTCACAGAAATCCAGTGTGATACAACCACAGCGTTGGGTTTCGGCGTGAGTTAGGTTATTGGCCCAATCTTTCCCCTCCCCAATCCCTAAATCTCCATAACCCAAATACCTAAAATATCGACAACGCTCTCGTAACTCCGCCGTTGTTGCTGGTGTCTTAGTGATTGCTTACCATCAGGTAAGGTTCACGGTTCAGGTAATCCGTCTGCTCCTTTGCCGTCCTACACCATAAGCTTGGAAAAATACCGTTACCCAGATTTGGGAAATTTAGAAGCTAGTCTTATTAAATTCCTAACTCACCGAAGTAAATATTGTAAAAGTCTCCTGCACCAGTTCATCCTTATTGAGTTCCTGGGAGAGTAGGAATCTATCAATGACACTGAGTTCAGTATTAACACTTGAGTCGTCCTCAGAATTCATCAGCTCCCTCTTACTGTCCTCCAGGGTCCTCAGCCTCTCCGTTCTATGTTGCAGTATAACTTCACAAAAGTCTGTCATGATTTTGATAAAATGTTTCTGGAAATAATAGTCAGTAGACATCCAGAAAACAGGGTCGATTTGCATGTACCATTTCGTCATCCTTCGAAATACTACCTCGTAGATGCTGCAATAAAAAAGGTTCATAAGGCTTAAAAATAAAAAGACCACTTTCTTTTTATTTTTAAGTCTATGAGTAGGGTAAGGGTTATAATTGAATGGCAAAAGTAAAAATTTAAATTGAATAATCTGTCTAAGGTAGCTATTTCAGATATGTAATAGTGTGGCGTTTAACTACAATAGCATTTGAGTTTTTAAACCACGAAAAAAGGCAAAAATTTTTGTTATATAGTATATTTATACCGTTTTTCCATGTAATAGGTAAGTTTGGCTGTAAGGGGTAACGTTTTGAACAGCTGCGCGCTGGTCCAATTTCCAAAATTCTTTCACCGATAGATAGCTACAATGTTCCTGAGTGTTTTAGGCTATAGAACATCATGCTACGACAAATAACAGCCGAGCAACGGGAGAAACCGTGAGCAGTAGCTAGTATAAAAAAAATATAATACTGGTCTTTCTACATGATTTTTATACTTATTATATATTTTTTTTAGTCAGAAGTTGGAAGTCAATTCCCATTTACCGGGCAGAAATACCAAATTCAGTTCTATAACTGAGAAATTTTAAAAATAGTACCAATATCGCTTTCGCCGACCCGAATCGGAATCGAATATTAAGTTTATTGTAAATGATTTCAATCGTGAGTTTATGAGATTAAACATGTACCTAATGCCCTTACTGCAGTCATATTTGCAGTTGGATATAAAGAAAATATAATTAAATACATACAATTCACCATTATACACTAGCTTTCGCCCGTGGCTTCGCACGTGTGCTATAATATTGATAAAAGTACCATACGCTAATCATTTCAATCATTCCAAATTTCAAAGAAATCGGTCCAGCCGTTTTTGCTTGAAAGAATAACAAACATACAGCCATAAATTCCCACAAACGTTCACATTTATAATATTAATTAAATTAGGATAGTAGATTAACTAAAAATCGCGGGTTACTTACGTGTCTATCTTGAGAAAAGCTCTACTAGTTTCGAACCACAGAGGGGTTCTTCCTCATGAGCAGCGTGCGCGGACGTGGCGACAGCCTATCGTAACCCGCGATTTTTAGTTAATTTAGTATGTCTCACGATAGTTATTATAAAAACTTAGGATGGTAGGATTATACTTAGTAGAAAGTTTAATTCACCTTGGACTTGTTTCGATCAATTCTTCAATATGTGGCAACTTCATAGTCTGTTCTTTTGTTAAACCCATTAGGGTTCCTGTGAAAGAAAAAAAATGTTATATACATGTAACTTGTAAGTTAGTTCAATATGGAAAACTCTTATGGGGAACACGCACGAAGCGCGTTCGCTTTAAGTTTTATAATCCGAACCGCTAAGGAGTGGTATTCTTTGCCGGAGTGTGTATTCCCCTATGGTCATAACCTGGCTGTCTTCAAGGCCCCAGTGAATAGGTTGCTTATGGGTAAGCGTGCTCCATCGTAGGTCGTATTGTCGCTTACCACCAGGCGTGATAGAGGCCAAATGTCAGCCCATTTCAAAATAAAAAATTAAATACAATTTATTTTTGGGTAAATCCACTGAGAGCGTTATTTTAGGTCAATTTATAATTGTTAATCAAAATGTTTGATATTAAGATCACTATCGGACTACCATTCCTAAAAGAGCAAAAGGTCCAAGTCTAAATAAAATAAAAAACTTCTCTACCGAGCGAGTTAGATTATGACCGATCAGTATATAAGGCCATTAACTATTTAGGTTTTATTAGGTTATAGAGCTACATTTTACTAAACAATAATTATGAATTAAGAGTTAAATCGTACCTAGGTCATTTTGGCCACGTAATCTTAACGTAAGTATATACACATATTCAGCTTAAGCGATTGGAGATATTTACTCCAAAATTTAACCAAGCAAGTTTAAGGATTCATTCATACATGAAGCAAGTTAAAAAAACTTGTAATAATATTATTTACTTACGGCAAACCGCATGGCTAGTGGTCCTCACAATCTGCTGGTAGACATCGAATTGTTTCCTTGGCATACATCTGAACTTCTTCAGCAAGAGATCGACTTCTTCATTAAATACTTTACTGTATCCTTCAATGGCTCTCTTGCCGTAGTTAGGGTTCGCTATCTTCCTGTGCCGTCTCCATATTGGGCCTTGAAAAACCAATAAAATATCAAGGTCAAGACCTTGAATAATTCAAACCAGAAAGTTTCTCTTACCCCTAAGCAGTATCATCATCATCATCATCATTATTGGCCTGCTTCCGTCCACTGTTAGACATAGGCCTCCCCAATTGCACGCCACTGAGCTCGATGTTCAGCTCTTCCCATCTAACCACTGCCAGCCACCCTACGAATATTGTCAGTCAACATAGCTGGCGAGCGCCCTTACCTATATTTGATAGACGTGGTCTCCACTTTAATGCAGGTTGATAATAGAATTTAAATTGGGATTAATGTTGCTTTTTTGAGACACAAATTGTGAAAAGTTTTTAACTTCCAAAGTACATAGATGGTGCGTGATACTCTTTACTGTACCATTACCTTTACCTACATAATGTATCTAAGAATGGTGTTACTGGCGACCACTGGATTATCTAGATGGTCGTTTTGTTCAAAAACTCCATACCTACTCGATTTTTTTAAAAATACTGACTTACAAGCTGGCCCATTTTAAACCAGGTTGGTACTGGCTTTAAAACTGTTACAGTGTGCGAGAGCCACGAAAGGGCCGGCTCGAACAGAGAGATACTAAGGCCTTACAGAAAAAATCGACGTAAACCAACGCTTGCTTTCTATTCTGGCGTGTGACTGAGGTTACCAAGATTGGATGTCCAATCCTCAATTTTTATGGTGTCCTTGAACGGTACCAATTGCTTATCATCAGGTGATTCGACAGCACATTTGTCGCCCTATTACATACAAAACTGACATGTTAACATCATCTTACCAGAACCGCTCAGTATTCCTCCACCAAGGACATCAGCCATGTATTTGTATTGCGGCCCTTTCACACTGGTCTTTGTATTTGACAATAGTAGCTGGAATATAAAAATAACGCAGTATTAATTAAACTCTAAAGTATTTGCAGACCTGATTAACGGTAGAGAGCTATGCTTTGACACTAAGGAGCCGGAATGATACGCATGAATAAGGTTACCGGAGGTCCAATCCCTAAATCTCCAAACCCTTATCAACGCACTAGTAACGCCTCCGTTGTTGCACGTGTCATGGGCAGTGCTGCTTGCTTACTATTAGTTAATAACGAGATGACGGGTTTGCCGTTACATAAAAAATGGACATTAGCTACTCCATAATTGCACTTTCAGCCTGTTTACTGTTAGGGATTTGAGGATTCAGATCCTCAACAGTGAATTAGGGATGAAGAAGGGAAAGGGTTGGGTCTCCGATAAACTCATTCGTTTGTCTCGATAGTTATTTAGTTGGATTCCATAGTGATTGATGGTTTTCAGACGATGCAAGGCGTGTGAAGGGTATAAATATAATTTTTATTTACGAAAAAGATCTGCCGTGGTAGATTCTAGGTTCGTAAGTATTACTTACCTTCAAGTCATCAGGATTATTGATAACGATGTTCAGATCAGGACCGAGCCAGAATTTTGACACATTTCCGTATTCTGTCATCAAATCTTTTAATACTTTGATAAAAGCTGAAAAAAGAGATCGTTAGTGATCACTTAAAACTAGCTCAGAACATAATACACATTTTGTAGATTAGCATATTTAGGGTACTTAAATTGAAATTTTCTAACTAGACGGAGTTAGTTGACCGCACCGTAGGCGTGGTGTTGAACGCGCCCCAGTTAATATTAAGAAGCTTTTAAGGTTAACGAACTTAGTGGAATCTGCTGCAAAGATAGCGATAGATTGCGGCAATTGGACCCTTTTTTGTGACGAAAAAATCAGAGTCTTACTGACAAAAACCCCCCCGTTCCTTCTCCTCCTCTAAGCAAAGGCCGCGGTTCCTAATTGAGCTTGCCCCAAAACCCCAGCTGAACATCAGCCCTATTGGGTCCTGTCTGTGTTACTATTGGCTTTTCGAGGCGCGGTATTTGGACTTTTGACACGGTTTACTGCAAAATTGCCCTGCTGCCACGTCAACTGTGCAGTCAATTATCATAATAATAATCCGTTGTGAACCGATTTCGTAAAACGTTCGAGACGATGTAACGATCATCTCTCTTTGATGTACACCTTCTACGACCTTGCCCTGGCCTTCTTGTGTAGGAACCAGTCTCTCTGTAACGCCGGATAGCATCTTGAATAGTGGTTCGTGGATATCCAAGCATCCGTCCAATCCGACGCTGGCTAAACCCAGCGTCTGCAAGTGCTACTGCCCTGGCTGCTCCAGCTGCGTCCAATGGCATTTTTTTTGGTGTAAATTGAATCACGGCACTCCAACACCTCGGTTTTATTCGAAGAAATTGTATCACAACGTTTTAAATGAAATGTATCCGTCACACAAACAAAGGGCGAGACTGTCAAATTTCGACTAAACTGATTATTGTTAAATAAAAACCACAAAAGTAAACAAAACGCGGGTATGGTTGTTTTATTGATTTATGATATACCCACTTATGAAGTTGCGCCTATAATTCAAAGCGTAAGTTAACATAAACAAACGTTATGCTATTTGAGATGGGTGGACGGTTAAATGTGCCCCTGAGTGTATATAACAAGAGGCCAGAGGTACTGACCTACAGTACTGCATAGTAAACCTTAATACGCGTACCCTTGATCTGTAGCATATGTGCTCTTGGAATACTTAAATTGGTTCATTGTTAACTATTCAGGGCAGAGGTTATAGAAAATGATAGCCTAGACTAGAATCTAGATAATTATATCGTAATTTCCTGCACTGACCAAGATAGACCATGCCATAAGGAAAATGGACATTGCCGAGTTGTTTAATTGCAGGGAAGCAATCAATTAATTGTTCCTAGGTTCGCAGCTGTCCATTTTAATGTTTTTTTAGTTTATTTTATTAGTAATAGACAGGCGTTTGGCTACTTTATCGCCTGGTAGAAGTCACGACGTTGTGCTTTTCGAGGAACACAGACTCAAAGAATTCAACACCTTAACGGTTCTGATGATAAAATTGGGGACTACTAAAGTTTTAGTTTAGGCATTAAGTTCAAAATGGTGTGAGAATTTTTACCCGGTAGTAAAAAATAAGCTGTGCTACTTAACAATTAGAGTTACTACTATAAATTGATCAGCAGTGTTTATATTCGTATGGAAACTAAAGTTTTTTCTTCTAGGAATACAAAAAGGACTATGAAGTTTTTTTGTTGGTGGGAACATTACTTACTGTTCCTACATACCTTCTGGTTGGCACATGAACATTAGCGCGTTCCCTAAAAGTGGTATCGTGGGTGGACCTGGCAGCTTGTTACCCATCTGTATCATCCTCCTGTTCTTGTATCTCCATAGCAACCAGACGGCTGATAGTGCGCCACCTATCAAGTAAATTGGCCAGTTCATTCTGTAACAAAGAGAAATTCTATTTTAACCTGTGATTTTATCACTTTTGTTTTTTGTTTACTGATGCGTTTCTTAATCTCGTTTCGTCCGACTTATGTTACTCTTCTGGTTCTAAACTAACATCCCAACGAACTACAGCAACCCGAGCGTATGGCATGTTGCGAAGATCACAGAAGGGGCCCTTTAGGGCTGAGGTCCAGCCGGGGTATTGGGGCAAGCGCAATGAGGCACCACGGTCTCGGCTTAGAGTTGGAGAAGGTAAGGGGTTTCTAGTCAATAAGAATCTGACACACCCTCTCACCCCAACCTGGATGGAAGAAGTCATGTCAGAGAAAAGTCATTAACTTTCCACAGTCAAAAAAATTCTCAACAAAATCGGTTCAGTCGTTCTTGAGTTATGAATAGTGTAACTAACATGACTTCCTTTTACGAGTAGGCTTAGGATATAGTAGAATAGGGCATGACTTGGAATTGAATTTGTATGTATTTATATTTTGTATTTTATTATTGTATATATGCCTCAACAGCGGGACATACCTGAACATATTTTAATTATTTAAGACACAAAACGATGATTTGGTTTCATTGGAACTCTGCATCGAGTAGTATTCGCGTCGATGCATAGCTCTCCCATCCCATCCCATTTCCTTGTTCTCAGATATTTATCTCTATAAAGATACTAATTACCTATTTCTAATATAAACAGCTATTGTTGACATGCTGTCGACACGTATTAATATAAATTACTGTAAAACAATTATAATATATATAATTGCTTTGTTATTACACGGATAATTTGATATAATTATTTTCTGTGTATACTTATTTTTTTCTCAGGTCTACGAGTAGCAAGTCCAACGGACTTCGACGCGGGAAGTCTTTTTCTAGAAATCTTAACTCTAGAATTTCAACATGATGGTGATCATAGTCATTATTTTTTTATGAAAACGAGCAGAGGATTACTTGAAGCAACGGGTGGCGCCGTCTTTTGGGGATTAGGGTTATGGAGATTTAGAGATTGGGAAGAAGGTAACTGCACTCACATGGCGAAAAACAACGCTGTTGTTGTATCACGCCGGTTTCTGTGAGGCTGAGCAATCTACACTTTGGAACGAGGAAATAGCTTCACTATAGGACAGACCGACACACACAAAGTTTGAACCTTCATATTTAATTATTATGTTTGATGTTCAAAAGTTGTATATCTATTTAAAATAAATTATTTGACATTGACTTTGTCAGGCCATCTCTTTATTAGTCTTTTTAAAAAACTTCGCTCCCCACTTGAATTTTCTCCTGTGTCGTAGGAGTGATGATGATAACCACAGCCTCACAGAATACCAGCGTGAAACAACCACAGCGTTCGGTTGTGTTTCGGCGACTAAGTGAAATTACCGAAGGCCCAATTCCGCCGCTTCCCCTATCCCTTCCCGATCCTTATATCCGCAATCCCTATCCCCAAAAGGCCGGCAACGCACTCGTAACTCCTTTGGTTTTGCAGGTTCCATGGGTGGAGCGCATTACTCACCATCAGGTAATCCGTCAGGGCCTCGAATCTGCTATTACAATAGTGTCAGAATAGTAGATCATTGTTAATTTTGACAAGTTTGGTAATCTACTAACACGATAGCGTCACTATGATTTTCCAATGATCAACCAATGCCACTTCGTTTAAATAATTCTTTAGAACGGTAATCTCGTACACAACGACAAATGAATATTTGAAATAATGCGGTAAATTAATAAAAAAAACTGTTCCTTTATTCAATGATTTACGTTTACAATATTAATATGCAGTTATTGTTTATACTTAATTCGTTACAAGACATCTCGTACTATAATTCTCTTACGACATCGCCGAACACCAATGATAAGCCATTTTGAATTAACAGATTACGAACTTTTAGCAAAATGACAATGGAATCGTGTAGGAATTACAACACTTTGAAAATAGTAGACTCGGGCCCCTGTTAGTTTGCAGACTTATACCATAAAAAAATCGTTAACTAAACTAACGTCTTAACTAAACTAAAATAGCGTCAAAAGTCAACATTATTCATTCCAAGTAAACCACAAACAGCTACTTCTGAAACAGCAAAATATATAATATAATCTGTCAGTCAATTCGTCAGTGAAGCTAGGCGCTCAGTCCAAAGTGAAGATTCGAATGGAGAAGAACGAGAAAGAAACTCCATCGTTAAGTACTCTTTGAAAAAATATTATGTACATAAGTATGTTTTACAAGCTCACCAATACATTATTTTAATAAGTACCTACATATTATTGTACTGATATGTGAGATCGATTCAGAGAAGAAGTTGTTGAAAAAAAAGAACAAACAATGGGGCCAATTCACTAAATTTTAAATCGTCTTTCATCTCACACATGGCTCAGTATCTCGCATCCCGATGCTTGAATGCTATGGCTACTGACGAAATAACAAAACAAATGCATATCTATTTGTCGGACAACTATAGGTAGCACTACAATAAAATAAATTTGCGACTGACGAAGATTTTTACGATAGATAGGTACCATAAAATCGTCATAAAAGTGCGAATAGTTATTTATTATACCTGCTAGGCGGCTAGGCCAACTAGTTAATTAAGAAATCTAATAAAGCTGTAGAGTTTGTTTCTTTGAACGAGGTAATCTCCGAAACTACTGGTTAGAATTGAATAATTATTTTTGTGTCTGTTAGTAAACTTATTGAGAAATACTATATATAGGTAATGTAGTCTAGCTACATTCTATAGCAGCCGAGCAGCGATCGAAACGACGCGAGAGTAACTAGTAGGTTTATACCGTCGGGGGGTTACGACGAATGCTTTGGCGATACCCGTCCCTCCGACACACGGGGGAATGGAGAAACACGGGGTTGTTTTTTAGTCAGTAACAGTCTGATAGTACTCTTCGCCGTTTCCCGGAGGGTGGTGTGTCTCCATGAAGATTTTAAATAAAAATGAAAGGTAAAAACTCACCCGGTAAAGGAAAACATCTTTTCAGGAATCTTTACAGAGGCTTAGAAACTGGCTGCTGAACAAGATGTCACGGGTTATTCCTTCATGCAACAACCATTTGTGTAATTCAAAAATGGATTTTCCGGGTCTGACTGTGCTTTGCCCACCCACGACTAGAGGTACATGCTAGAGTAGGGAAACGTTTTTAAACAGTTATAGGTATTTTGTATTTTTTGTGATAGGTACTTCTGGACTGCTAACTACACTGACAAAGGCGAGTTGTTGCACAAAACATTTTAAAAGTGACTTGAGACCTTCGTTGAGAAAGTCAAAAATTATCCCCACTTCGAAAAAAAACCTTGATTAACTTGAACTCAAAAAATTTATACCCCATTTTTGAAAATTAAATACTTGCTTAAAGATTTTCATCAGTACCACCAAGTACCGAGTGGCATTCTTTGTCAGTGTTGCCAAAAAGGCAATTCGAATGTTTTCAAGGTCTCTCTCTGTCACAGACTGCTTCACAGATTGTCGCCGGACCATTGCAAATAAAAAAAAAACATTGAACACCAGCAGTGCAATACTTAAAAATCGCAATTTACATATTTATCTACACCAAATCTCAGATTTTTTTGTGTAATAAGACGTCAATCGTGCTGATGGATTACCTGATGGTAAGCAATGAGCGCTGCCCATGGACAGAGACAACAACAGAGGGGTTACAAGTACATTGCCTTAGATTAGGGATTACATTTAGAGATTGGGGTAGAGGAAGTATTGGGCCTCCGGTAAACTCATCCTCAAGACCAAATACAACTGTTTAATTACAGTACTGTATAAAGCTAAATTTAGTGACTAATACATTATTTATGAAATTTTAATATAGAGGAATCCTGGGCTAATTGTTTCAAATTTTATGTCTGTAATCTACAATCCGCTTCGAGTAGGCGTGGTAATTAATGCTGGAACCTTTTCCGTGTAAGAAGAGGGATTTGCTCAGTAGTGGGCATTATAAAGAGAATAAGTTACCTGATTGTATTTAGATCTGCGAAACTATTATGTAACTTTTTTTATGTTAGTTAATAGGTCGGCAAACGGCTGGACGGATTACCTCATGGTAAGCAATCAGCGCCGCCCATGGGCACCCGCAACACCAAAGGAGCTACGATTGCGTTGCCGGCCTTTTAGGGATAAGAGTTTCAGATATTTAAAGATCGGGAAGGGATGTGGGGGGGATTGAGCCTCCGGTAACCTAACTCACACGGCGAAACACAAAGCTGTGGTTGTTTCACGCCGGTTTTCTTTAAGACCGTGGTATCACTCCCATTCGTGCCCAAGCTTGGCTCTCCCACAATTAGAAAAAGCAAATCCCCTTAAAAAACTATTCTTGACTAACGTGGGTCGTTATGTAAGCTACACGTAAAACATCCCCTTTTTCTTCTCAAGTCTTTTCAAGGTATTACACTTAATCAAAAACGGCTATAGGTAATATCATCACTATGCGGAAAGGAATCGCAATGATTCACCGCGGCCTCGGCCCAGAGAAGGAGAAGGAACGGGGATTTTTAGCCAGTAATAGTCTGACACTCCCTCCCGCCCGACCCTGGGCGGGAGAAGTAATTTGATGATTTGCCCTTCACAAGAAAAGACGGAAGAATCCACTACGTTACTAATCAAACGCCTCTCCGAAAATCAAAAAATTCTAGCAAACCATTGTAATATAAAACTAGCGACCCGCCTTTGCTTCGCACGGGTGCAATCCCGATACAATTTTTCTCCGCTATTTAATGGATAGATATTATTATGTTACATATATACATATATAAAACCTCTTCAATCACTCTTTCTATTAAAAAACCGCATCATTATCCGTTGCGTAGTTTTTAAGATATAAGCGTAACATAGGGATATAGGGACAGAGAAAGCGACTTTGTTTTATACTATGTAGTGACAAATGTACAAAGAAGTGCGTTAGTATTAAAAATTCCTTACCTCCTAAAACGTCTTTCCTTACACAATACAGATCACTAACTACCCTACCTTACATATACGTCAGCGTAATTGTACATAAAAATGCGGAGCGTATATAATATTACGTGTCTTGCGACGTTGTGTTGCAAGGTACGAATATTGAGGAAACTGTGTGCCAACACGATTGTATTTGTAGGACATTATCTGGTATGTGAATAAAAATTGCACTTATTTTGCTATTCCCGATGTACTATTCTATTAAAATAGTAGTCCTACTTAAGTTTGTGAGAATGTATAAATGTATGTTTGTTATTATTTCACGCTAAAAATGATATAATAAATAATAATAACAATGTTGAGATTTGGTGGTACCTTGAATTAAACATAGGTTACTTTTTATCAACATACCTCGCGAGCGAAGTCTCGTGCGGTAGCTGGTGTTACGATGAATTTTCTTATTAAGACAGATCGACAGACTGGTACACACATATTTAACTTAAATGTAAAATAATTTTGTTTGACGTTCAAATGTGCCTAGTGTAAATAAATGATTTTACTTTTTTGTGGTACCTATCTCTATGTCGAAAAAACATCACATCACTTTTTTAGATTATCCTGTCTGGTGCGCATCTTACAATTACATTTGATTTGTTCAACCTTTGATTGAGCTGATATTTTGTATTGATCGTTTTCAAGTTATTTTTTTTTTTGTTTTATAAAATTTTATATTTATGATCATTACTAGCTCTTGAATAGCCATCAACCAATTGTTGCAGGACTGATTTAACCTCTCTTTTTATTTGTCTAGCAAAAGCCACGACTTACATAGGTATAGCGATTTTTTTAGTGGGGAGGAAAATTTTATAGGTTGTTTCTCGCCTAGATTGAGGCGAGAGGGAGTGTCAAACTTTTACTGGTTAAAATCAATCCCTTTCCCTCTGCTTGAGACCGACACCGTGGTACCTTATTGCGCTTGCCCCGCATCTTCGATTGAACATCGACCCTGTAGGACCCCATCTTTGGTGGTCTAATGGCTAATTTTGGTAATTAAAATAAAATATTGTTGAAGGTATTCAGTTATGATTTTTGCCGTTTATGAGAGTCTGTCAGTCAGTTTTTAACTAGGAAAGTCATCGACAAATGGTACCCATTTCAAACGCAAAACAAAAAACAAAAAACTAGTTCACACGGCTTCAAATAAAAATTAAAACAAAACCAGTTTATATAAGGATCTCGTTTCGTTCGAAATTCCTGCACATTTAACGGTCAGTATATACTGGTGACTTCCTATCTAGAGTAACAAGCGTATCCTTTACAGTTGAACCGTGTTATACAACCAGAAGTGGCGACGTGTAGCAATTTTCCTGCAACTAGAATTTACTTGTGACATAAAACAATTATTATCTACAGCCTTTGTTTCAAAAGCTGTTCTGAGTAGCTATAGAATAGTAATTATACAGGTACTTTTTTTGACGACGAAATATTATCACTTCTCTAAGAGATAGAGTCTAAGACTTTTTTTTAAAACTTTGCCCCACATTACGATTTTCTCCTGTGTCGTGGGTGCGTTTACAAACATACAAATTCATATACACATCACACCTAGACCCGGAACAACAATTTGTTGATCACACAAAGAGTGGTTCCGTGCGGGAATCGAACTCCCGACACGTTGCACGGCAGCCAGTTGCCCAGCCACCGCGCCAACCGTGCAGCCTCTTACTGTCAGACTTGTCTTAGACTCTTACTGTGTAAAAACCTAGTTCCTTCTCCTGCTCCAGGTCGAGGCCGCTGTACCTTAATACCTTAATGCGCTTGACCAGCTACCCCGAATAAACATCGGCCCATCCGTAGTGGTCTATGTAGTTATATACACAATGGAACGTCCACACTATATGTATAAGTACCTCACATCATAAGCCTATAAGTGCCCATTACTGAGCAAATTCCTTTATCACACGGAGAAGGTTTGAACATTAAACCACGCTTGCTGCTTTAGAAATTACGAGTATAAGTTTACGTTTCCCTACGATTTCACCCTTCACCGTATGTGTGCCTAATTAATCATAGAAAGTAGATATAACTCTGAAATAGTCACATTGGTATTTGCCAAATTTTGAACCAAACTTATGCATGAGAAGCAGGCGCCTTATCTCCAGCCACCGTAAGCGCGGGTCTGCGGTCGGCGAGTAAGGGCAGCTCGCTGCCCGACCAGAACCAGGACCGAGCGTACGGCGCGTAGCGTTCCGCGCGCGCCTCAAAGAGCCATTAGACCACCACAGACGGGGCCCTAAAGGGCTGATGTTCAGCCGGGGTTGCGGGGTAAGCGCAATGAGGCACCGCGACCTCGGCCCAGAGCAGGAGAAGGAACAGGAGGGTTTTTAGTCAGTAAGAGTCTGACACTCCCTCCCGCCCGGCCCTGGGCGGGAGAAGTAATTTGATGATTTTCCCCTCACAAAAAAAACCTCCGGCCACCGTGTTGATATAAGTACCTACTATTTGTATTTATTTATACGTGCAGTTGTGAAGTTACAATGTATTTATTGTTGTCCTAGCTCCTAGGTTTAAAGTCAGTGACCTTTTTGTTACATAGTATCATGTCATTAACATTATTGTGACTTGATGTGACTCAACAGTTGCATTGTCCATCGTGTGATCGATCAATTTTGACGGAGAAGCTTCCCCATCCTCTTTCCTATCTATCTCCTCCCTAATCCCTGTCACCCATCGTTAACGCTCTTGCTACGCCTCTGGTGTTGCGGTTGCCCATCTGAGCTTACCATCAGGAGATCCGTCTGCTCTTTCGTTGCCGCACCAATTAGGTGAAAAATATTTTATGAATAACTGTAGATTTGCTTTTTTTGGAAATACGTATGTAGATGAACCTACGAAAGAAGTTGAACTTTTTGGTGTGAAGGACCAAAAAGAGTTGAATTTGTTAACCTGCTAAAATCATTGAAGTTGTTATCATCATCTTCTTTAAAATACCCCTAGTCTTCTAAATTAGACTATCTCATCATTATACATATATCATAGACAACCGGCATGAAGGAATCATAGTGTTGTGTTTCGCCGTGTGAGTGAGGTTATCGGAGGCCCAATCTTTCAAAAACCCTAATCCTCAAGAGGTCGGTGAAGCACTCGTAATAAAGTCGACCTTCGTTGTTGTGGGTGTCTATGGGTGGCGCAGATTGCTTACTATCAGGTAACCAGTCCGCTGGTTTGCTGTCCTATTACAGGATATCCTATACAGGAGGTCCTATGTCCGATATCAGGATCTTGACTAGTCGGCTGTCTTTCAAGCAGAGAGTTCGGGAGCTTCTTTTGAAGAGGTTGGGGGAATCATCGTGACTATGACTGCATATACGTATATATATATATATATATGTTTACTGCCTTATAAATATGTATTATAATGTATGTATATATTATGTATGTATGTAAAGTGTATCATATATGATTTTATATATATGCTTGGTATATTTAACTCAATTTGCTTGCTTCTTGCACCTGCCACCAGATTATGTCTGCATCACCCAAAGGTAGACTGGTAGAGAATGCTCATTGCATTAAGTCCGCCTATGTACAGTGTTTTGTGCATGAAGTCTCAAATAAATAAATAAAAATATTACATAAAAAAAAAACTTGTGCAAAGGGGAATTTAAATAAGAAAATATACACAAGGATACAGTCGCAGTTATAGTTTTTTTGTTTTCAGTTTTACTTAAATGTCATTTATTTTTAGTTACGCGTTCCTCGCAAGGCTGTTGCTTGTTATTGAGAAATTGTTTGTGTTCAAGTGTTGAGTTTATCTGCGTTTTAAATCTGGTGACATTGCTCGTGCCACTGAATACTAAAAGCATATGAATTACTAGCAACCCGTCGTCGTTCTGCACGGGTGCAATACTAATACTAAATTTCTCTATTATTTAATGGATGTTATTTTATTATTTATTTATCATATATCACAAAGGTAGCCATCTTATGTGCTAAGCCCCACAAAACCGTTGTAATGGTTTGACTGTAGGGTCAGTGAGTATCTTTAATAACAATTAAATTTACTTATAACTAAATACTACATATAATATATAATGACAAGGAACTTGCTATTACATATATAAAATATAATAATTTCTAAATAATATAATTTTATTATTATCTATATATATAAAAGAAAGTCGTGTTAGTTACACCACTTATAACTCAAGAACGGCTGAACCGATTTAGCTGAAAATCGGCAGAGAGGAAGTTCAGAGCCAGTAGAAGGACATAGGATAGGATAGAGTAGGTTAGGTAGAGTAGGTTAGGTAGAGTAGGGTAGGTAGTGTAGGGTACAAAGAGTAGGGTAGATAGAGTAGGTTAGGTAGAGTAGGTTAGGTAGAGTAGGGTAGGTAGTGTAGGGTACAAAGAGTAGGGTAGATAGAGTAGGTTAGGTAGAGTAGGTTAGGTAGAGTAGGGTAGGTAGTGTAGGGTACAAAGAGTAGGGTAGATAGAGTAAGGTAGGTAGAGTAGGGTAGGTAGAGTAGGTAGAGTAGGGTAGGTACTCAAATGACGGGAGCGACGCCGCGGGTAAGAGCTAGTACATCATATAACTACTATCTAATAATACTGGTCATAACTGATTCTTGACTAGTCAAATTAAATCCTTTTTGTCCTAACTGAATGAACCTAAATGAACTGAAAACCACACGCACAACCACAAAATTCTTAGAAAACTGTCGGAGTTTTCTAAGAATTTTGTGGCAAGACTGAAATATATCCTTGACATTATTCTATCCCTGACAAATGTTCCCTTTGCCACAGACAAATTCGCAAGTACACATAGAGACGTAAGATGTTACTTGCATTCGATTTTTTTTAAGATTTAATTGAACAGGCGCTTTTTTTTTATCATAATATACGTATTTGGTCTAGGGTAGGGTGCAAAGAGAGGAGCCACCGGTTTAATTTGAAAAAAGAAATAAAATAAATAGAAGAAATCTGTAGTCCAGTAGACTGTTTTGGATTGATGAAGATAAGGAAAAACAGAAAGGTCCAAAAGGTGTAATACATTTGAGTCAGATCACGTTCTAAATGGTCCATTATGCACGGACACCAAAACAACACTAATTTCCTTATGAGATGACAAAAATATTACAACC